ACCAAAATAGGCAAGGTCCATGTTCATTGGGTGGTCCTGGATCAGTGTTGAACATTTTAGATTTCTATGACTTTACACGAAGTTTTACTAATTGTATTGCTCTTTGAGAGATGATGGACTGGATGGATCTGCATCATGAATTTGAACTCACAACCTTCAGATGTTGTGCATTCTCACTAGATGTCACTCAAACACATCTGGTAGCTATATGATTAAATAACAGAGGGTCTTTAAATAAATACATATTTATACCTGTGTGTTTTTTTCTGTTCCTTTGTCCATGAACATTATTACGCGGCGTGATCTCACCAGTGCGTGGATGTGTCTCCGGGCCCTCTGATTCCCCCCTCCCCCCACATTTAGAAACACACCTTTAGAGTATTTGGCCGCTATAAATTTCCACACGATAAGCCACTTTTTTAGTTATAATTTGTGGCCAGGTGGCTTCTGAACAATAAGTTAATACCTCAGTGGGCTTTACCTGGTAAAATAAAAATATTTTATAGTTTAAATAAAAATAGTGTAATCGTGTGCATATGATGATGGGCTCCCCAGACTATTGCTGTCCTTTACGATCTCACGATGCCATCATTCATTGCAGTCTTGCACAAGAACCATTCTCATCGCTCAATCTCTGTGGAGGGTATTCTCTTGGGCATATTCCGTCTTTGGCTACCACTCTGTTGTTAACCTTGACCATCAGCCACTGTCCTAATGCATGAAGTAGTTAATTTGCTAAATGGTTAGCTTTTTGGATGTTTTTATTTCTACCATATTTTTTTTCATAACAACATGAAGAAACATTTCATCTGTAGGCACCGACAGGGCGACAAACAAATTCGATGTGCGATGCAGTCGTAACAGCACTTTGTGGTCATCCATCAATTATACAACAAATTGAGTTGTCTTGCAGAAGGGAGGAAGGGACGGTTAGGTACAATAGGCGAAGTAATAATATTGAGAGGAATAAATTCCAGTGGATCTGCAAACGAAGTGTTTTCTTTCCAAATGCGCTTAAGGACTAAAAGCAACACCCATCTCAGTTGTAGGACTTCACGGGGATTGAGTTTTGTGCGTCTCGCGCTTGCACTCAGGTTCATGTGTACTATTTATTTATTTACTCGTTTAAGGCTCTTAAGAGGAAGAGCTTAAATCATAAAAGGAAAAGCCGTGATCAAAGAAATGTAAGAAAAATACGTGGATCATGGTCCATAATAAATATATCACCGTGCGATAAATATCAATGTTTGGTGACAGCATACAGTATTGAGCGTCGTTGTTTAACTCCATAACCATTAACAAAACTGAATAATAATAGTCTTTTGGCTTGTATGGTTCATAAACTTGTCAAATCAAATGGTAACAACTCATATAAAAGGTGGCTTCTAGGATGATTAACAACAGTATAATATTTTTCACACCTTTACTTAAAAACAACACGCTGGCTCAGTACAGTGTGTAATAGGTTCTCACATTCCATTGTTTGCATACAAAGTGGGGTGCAGTGGTGGTGCAGTGGTGAGCACGTGCTGTTATGAACATGGCAATCTGAGTTAAATTCCCAGCCAGGGCTAACATCAGTGGCAAATTACATCTGAACTGGTCCTGGGCTACTCCTTCTTCATAAACCTGCATAAACCTGCATGGACCTGCATGGACCTGCGTAGTGAAATAGGGTCAAATAACCCTGACGCCGAGCGTGGCATGGGGAGGCTCCCTCATCCAACGGTGGATTGACAAACGACCACTTTGCATGTACCCACACACATGCATGTACCCACACACATGCATTTACCCACACACATGCATGTACCTACACACATGCATGTATCTACCCACATGCATGTACCTACACACATGCATGTACCTATACACATATTAATGTATGTGTACTGCTGGGGAGTGGTGGTGTAGTGGTTAGCGCCCTGCGCTATGAACCAAACGCCTGAGTTTGATTCCCGCTCACAGCCGACACGAATGATAATTAACCGAACCGGTCCTGGGCCTCCCCTAGGTCGACTCAGCCTCAAATGAGTACCTGGTGCGATGCGTAAATATCGCCACTTTGAAACAAAGGCGGCCGGGCGTGGTGCTGGCCCCCCACCACCTCGTGTACCACAGTGCCGGCCTTCATAGGTGCCACTCGCTAACAGCACTCGCCCCAACAGTCTGTTAGGGGTACACGGTGGATCTTTGTCTTTGTCTCTTTGTGTACTTACATATACGTATGCACACATACATACCAAGTGCTGAATGATTTTTTGTTCCTCCATGAAGTTGTCATCTTTTGAAACCATACAAGCCATCAAGAACTGTCCCTCTCTCGCAATGCGTGAAGCTTGCTGGCTCCCCGGCCCATGCCACTGTGCTCTCGCCTGCGATGCACCGAGACGTTGGGTCGCACTGCCTGTGCACGTCAAGAGGTCCCCGCGAGTGTGGCTGTCTTCAAGACAAATCTAAAGGCTCATTCTTTCACGTTCGCTTTTCAGGGATGAATCACGTTTCATTGCACGATAATGTTACGTTGTTTCATTGCTTTAGTGTTTCAGCACATGTGATGAAATTGTAGTTTGCCATCTTTAAACAATTTAAACTTCGGTCTGCCAATCCGCTAACTGTGGCATGTATCAATGTATACTGCTCGTGGGGGATTTGATCAACTTGCACCATTGCTTCGTCTGCCACGCCAAGAGTTCGAATCGAATCAGCAGCCGCTGGATTCTTGAGAATACGTTATGATACTGTATTCTCATATGTTTGACATTGTTAACAACCTGTAGCTTTATCTGCACTGGAGGCGGCGGGTCTGTGACACGCTCACCATGAGCAATGCGCAAGACAATGCTCAGATCTGGGACGTGGTTTGACATTCCGCAGCGCCCAGGGGCTTCGCTTGAAACGTGACTTTCGCTCGCCACACTGACTCTTGCAACACACTTGAGCAATTCCCACCTTGCTAAGGAAACAGAGCATCAGCCCCGCCATGTATGTGTATACATATGCAAACACTGCATGGGTCTTTTCGAATGCTCCTCCGTCAAATGTATTTACACTTCAACATTACACACACACACATATATACTCAATGCAAGTGGGGCAATGCTGTTAGTAAACACCTATGATGGCTACAACTGCATAGAATAGGGTGGTGTGGCCCACACCGCCCGGCTGCTTTTGTATGCCTGGTTATGACGTTTACATACTGCAACACGCACTCATTTAAGCATTAGCTAATCTAAAAGAGGCCCATGACAACTTCCAATAGCACCTTGCCACTGATGTTATGTATCCTTGCCAGGAGGCAACCCCAGCTCATACAGCATTCAAGTGCAGTTTGCGAACCGCTGCTCTGGCGGTGACCAAATACACACTGACACCGACTATTTTTCGGGGGTCAGTTACACACGGATTTTAAGAAAAGGCTGATTTGTCTTTGCTGCTTATGATGAAAAGAAAGGTAGTCGATGTCGAAAGGTCATGCAGAAGTGTGATTTGAGATTGCAATCAACGCATGACAACATGTCACAATCCTCAGCAGTGATCTGTCCACTCCTGGAAGAAGTCCTCCTCGAGCCCTGAGCGTCCTGCAGGGTCGAGAGACACACAACTACTCCATGTAGCTCCTGCACACGAGACGTTCGAATTGCTCCATTTCCAAGGTGGATGTCCTCTTGGGCACGTGTTTCCTCCCTGTGCTTTCCTTTACTGTGATCGTTGATTTTCATCGACGGACCAGTTCAGTAAAACACTCGACACTGATTTTAGCCAATGCAGGGATATACACTCGTAGGGTTCATAGTGCAGAGCGCTCACTTCTTCTCCCTTCCTGTCCAGTTAGTATATCAACTAAACACGTTATGTAAACAGACAGGCAACAAAGCGTATGTCACATGCATGAAACTAAATACGCGTATTTGTTTGAGCACATTTCTTATAGTCCTCTTGTTAGTTCAGGTCAGATGAGGTCACCTTGACAGCAGTAGCACGCCTGGGCTAAACAGTGACATCGCCACTCACACTGTGTGTAGTGGCCTGACTTCACCCGACAGTTGTGTGTGTAAACACGCTGTCAGTGACCTGCTTGTCCTCACAGCTAATGTAATTTTCCTTTTCACGAGAGGTTAGCAGGTTCAGAGAGTGTTTGCTGCTTTGAGCAGGAAATTGTGCGTCACCACACATCCCCCCCCCACCAGCCCCTTGCACAATAGGAATGTCTCCACTTTAATCCTAGAAAGTGGCCTGGATGCGGTGCGGTGAGTCAAGCCACCGCGTGGCCCGCGGTTGTGAGCTCCAAGCTCGTGCACGGTTAACTGAGCCCATCGTTTCTCTGGGGTTGGTAAAATGAGTCCACCATCTGGAGGGTGGACCTCTTAGTCCGCGTCACCAAATGGTTCTCCCGTGGAGTAGCTGGGTTCCGAGTGAGCGTGCAACGAGCAGAGCAATTCATGGATTAAAACCATTGCCTCCGCCTACGATGCGTGCACCAAACCCTGCCCGTGAGACGTCACACACGAGATGTGTCTCCTGCTGACGCAATTCATATGCTGCTCTGCACCGTTATCGTCATCATAAGCCATGGTCAATCCACTGCTGGATGAAGGCATCCCCAAGGCGCCGTCACCTCTCATGATCCCGACACGGTAACAATCCGCCACCTGCTGATCTTACGTTAAAGATAATGGAGCAAACGGGACTGTACAGGCAGGAGAGTACGATAAGGACAATGCAAATTTAGTGCAAAAAATGTGCCGATAAAAAACTATTATTGAGCCGTATTGTGACAATTTATAAAAAAATCACCACATGCCCAGCCTTCTAATAAAGGAATATTGAATTCCAACCACAACTCATGCCTGCAACGTAGCATTTGTTTGACACTGACCTTTTGACCTTGGAATCCATAAGAATGTGTCTGTTTCGTCTAATTTACAGGAGTGATGTGTGACTAGTTGCTTGCTCGAGTTCATAAATTAATGCATAATTCAACTTTCTTGTAACAGAACATCCTGTCATGATGGATGGGGAAGTCTTGGAGTGTCCCCAAGGCTTCAGAAAGGAAAACTCAACTCACTGCAGAGGTAAACACTCACACGCCGGTCAAGTTTATGGTACACACGGAAATTCGTTTTTATTTTCACTCATTTCATCACAATTTGCACTCTCTCTCTGCCTGACATTTGTAACACACACACACCACGTTAAGAGCATGCTAAATACATGGATTTATGTGATCATTTACATGGGCTCTGTTACATGTGTGTGTCGTTGAATATTTCATTATTGCACGGTAAGTAACTAACTTGTGATCATTTGTTGTAGTTTCTATGGGTGCAAAAAATTAGTCTATTGGTTCATGAATACCCTTTTTCTAAACTGACAATACATGCCATGCACCGCGTGCACAACAATCAATATTCTTGATTCATATACATGATATGTAACTTTGTCACGTGACAATTCCAGCTGCTAGTAGACAATGCATTCGCTTCAACGTTAAACTTGACATCGATTCTTGAATGGAATCATCTCCCTGGATCGTGGTAATTGAGAGTAATTGGGATGGTGGCAGAGGGGGCCGAGGTGAATCGTCACACCCCCAGGAGTTGTCGTGGGTCCGATCCCGACCCTAACGCCTGTATATTTAGAGTTAATATCTTTTCTGGTTTTTCCCTCCACAATTAGAAACAATCGTTTCGAGTATTTGACTGCCAAAGGTTTCCACGTGATAAGCCACTTCTCTATGGCCAGGTCGCTTATGAAAAGAGCTACATAGCTCAGTGGGCCTTCCCTGGTAGAATAAAGATAGTAGAAGTAGTCGTCGTTGTTTTGGCCAGGTGACTTCAGCAGCAGAGCGAGCAGTGAACAATGTGAAGGCTACGAGATCCAGTCGTGGTTGGGGGTTGACTCAGCCCACCACCCCTCTGCGGTGAACAAAACGAGTCCCACTATGTGGAGATGTAAACTCCGGGTCCCATGGATAGACTTGCCTGCCGCACCCACCGTGATGAGACATTCACACCACTGGCTCAGGGCTGTACACGGGAGATGAGCCCTGCCTCAGTGTTCAATTGAGTAGGAAATCACGTTGACTCTGGGCTATTTAGGGTGAACACCGCTCACGCAACTGTGCCATTACCGAAATGTTGTTGTTATTTTTTTGTGTGGCCCCGACTAAGCTGCCCAATAAATTCAGCGTAATCGGCAATTGTCGGGTCAACAGCGATGAGTGGAACAAACAGACTCTCGGGCTATGAGATTCCCTTCAGAGGTACAGAGCATTTTAATTTACATCTCCACGTGGAGGCCAAAATCGTGAGAGTCCAGGGCAGCCGACTCAGTCACCTGACACGGGCACATTACCCCCTGAGCAGCCTGTCACCTCTCATTGACTCTTGAATGTATAAAATAATAAAATCAACAATGTTGCGGAGTGGAGCCAGAGGATGTATACACACTGTGGTGTAACGGGGTCAACCTTGATTAAGTGCAAAAATCAGATTTCAACTCAAGCTAGGGACACGTACAAATAAAAATATTGCGAGAGTTTCAGTGGGATCAGAAATGGAATGGCTGTTGACATTATGCAACGCGGGACAAGTTGCAGTATCTGGGACGTGCCTTCGTCGATGGGGGTGAGCTTCTTGGTAACAGCAAGAATCCATCTTCGTCACTCTACACACAGAAGCCCGTTTGTATTCGAGAGAGAAAGGTTAATGGCATAGCTTGAGTGTTTCTGTTTCAATCGCCAGGGGAGCTGAAAGGCAATATGATAAAAAAAACATGAGGTTTTTCTTAAGCTCCTATGACTTACTTTACACATGAAGGTTCTTCACGGATAAAACTGAGCGTGCGCTCGATTCAGCTTACAGGGAGAGAGATAAAGGTCCCTCGCTCGGATCAGTTGGAGCAATTTAGGCGTAAGCGGACACCGTGGGCGCGGAACGAGCTATGCTGATTGTTTTCGGCCACTGCTCGAGGCCGCGAACTCGTGCCCCACCTTGTCAATCCGATGGTGGTGGTGACGACGCGACACGAGCCGGGGCACAGCGTGGCTGGATCCAAGGAGCTGTTCACGCCAGACTCCACCATGCCCCCCCCCCGCCAACCCCTCCCGCCTGCTCCCTCCCATTAACCCCCCCCCCCCCCCCCCATTTCCTGCTGCCCCCAGCGTCTTACGCTGCCCCAATCCCTCCCCACCCTCTTCTCAATGTTGCACATGCGCTCGCTTGATGCAGTACAGTACCTCTAAAATACCTCACTGACATTCATTTGTATTCCCTCACACTTGGATAAAGCCAGAGTCAAAGTGTCAGCATCTCTCTTGAGTTATCTGCCTCAGCGTCAGGGCCTTCGTTCAACTTTCCTCCATGCTCTCTCCTATATTACACTTTTCAATTGTATTTATGCTGAACTTCTTTCGCACCATACGTAGCCCCCCCCCTCCCCACTACCATTCCTCTTTTTTTTCCAAGAGTCCTCTTAGAGCGTCGTTCCGGAACCCTTCCCCGCTGACATTATGCCCAATCCAGATATTTTCCCTCGTCTCAATTGTTCCAATCATTGTCCCTACTCCTTCCTTCTAGAGCTTCTTTCAGCAGGCTTTCTCCTCTGACAATGTGTCCAATCTGGATGTTCTACCCATCCCGGAATTGTTCCAGTCAGACTTCACATTGTTGTTATTGGGCATGAAGCAGTGCGTGAGGATTCCATTCGACAGAGGTGTTGTGCTGGGGAAGCCAGGGGAGGCGTTGTAGAGGCAAGAGGTCATCGGCTCGCCGAGCTTATTTGGCTTCCGGTTGCCGAACGGATATGTTACGAGGTCGCACTTATTACGCACAAAGTGCTTGCCACAAATGAGCCACAATACCTTGCTGATCTCGTCAAGGAGCATAAACCATCACGTCCACTCCGATCATGATCACAGCAGCGGCGTTTGGCTGGCCATCGAACAAAGACGGCCACCGCATCACTCGCTTTCAGATGCGGCCGCTTAAAACGCTCTTCCTCGATTTAAAACGAATTTATTTAGAGCTGATTTTTGTGTTTAGTTTGTTGTCCTTCTCCCGCGCCTCTAATTATCACGGTTGGCTACGTACGGTGATGAATAAGTTTAAGATACATGCATACAAGGTAGGTGGATTGGGATCGCAGGAATTGGAAGAGGGGGTCGTTTTTTTTTTACCTCAGGCCGCACAGCTTTCTTAACCTTTCACCCCACACAGAGGGGCGTCTCGAAAAGCCACGGAGTCGTGTGGTAATAGCATTATGAGATGTTTGGGGATCAATGCAGGTTGCTTTAGTTTAATACCTCTGACCAGTCACGAATTTAGCATTCAGTGATATTATCCAAATTAGGAAATGGGTTATGATTAAAGCTACGTGATGATTGACAGAATATGTATGATCACAAAGGGCTCGCCATGAGCTAGATTCTAACGACTGCTGTATGTTGGACAATGTCTGTGGGCGTCACACAAGACGAAGACCACCGACATGGAAGTAACAAAAGACGAGTGATGGACAAAGCACGATCGTAGTAAAACTTGGCAAACTACGTGTGCTAAGCCACAGGTAATTGAAAAACAAGTTCTCGAGATGAACAGAGAAAGCGCTATTGATTATGGGAGTGGGTCACTTGTACAGCCCCTTGTACAAGGGTCATTACTTCGAGAGGCATTGCTTCTTTTTATGGAGGACTTCGCATTTTTGTCACAATTCCAGCTGTTAGCTGTGCTCATCTTTGTGTGGCTTAGTGATGGAAATAAATGTGCGCTCATACATACCATGAAAAATGCTCACTTGTTTAGCCAGTTCAGTTACATAATTTGCATTTGTTCAAATGGATTTTTTCTTCTTTGGTTTCCACACCCAAAATGCTATGGTCGTGCAACCAGTCTTAAATGAATCTTGGCAACGACAACGACGTCGTCCTTTACAGAACACAGCCGTAGCTTGTCTGAAAAAGACCCGCCTGAAGCCCGGACACAGGCCACTGGGATTTTGGTATTCTCTGGCGAAGACTTTGTACACAAGCCGATCGTGTCTGGCCTGAAGCCATTAACAACGTGAGCAAGGGCCCTTACAACGCCGCTCAATCAGCGTGGGACAGAAGCAAAGAATCCGTGCTACCATGGGCTCATCAGCCACATTTCGGGCGAGATCCATAATTCATTATGTTATAGCAACGATGGTGATCTTATAAGGTCCGGAATTTATTTTTAAATATGATACCGCGTTGGCAAGGGTGCACAAGCACCAATAACAGCAAGTCTTCACATTGATCAATAACACTGCCCGAAGCAGATACAAAATCCGTAATAGGTGACGTTTTGAGCAATGGCCCTTCTTCATAGCGGAGAGGTAATGTCGCTGTTTATTATAATGGTTCTGTTAAGAAGTCCCAACCAGAGCAACACTTTTGTACACGCGTTAACAATTCCTGCGCACCTTTAAAGTCTCAAGCCCACGACTTTTTTTGTTACTCACAAAAGATGCGTTCACTTTACGTTTACGAGTCGTGTTCTTTTAATCCTGCAACTCTTAAACGCAAGTTGCCTCGCTTACGTTGACAAACGTTATGCCCCTGCGACGGATCCCACCTCCGCAAGTGCCATCCCCTGCGGGCGTACATTAAGTTAATGCTTGCGGTTCGGCATCGGCACGCCTTCACCTTTGAAGTTGCCGTTGCGGCCGTCGTGATTTTCAAGCGCACGGCACCGTTGGCTTCCTCGCAAATGTTTTCGGTTAAACGCTGGGTCTATAATTCAGAATCTAGACCATAACTGTCACTAAATAACCATTTCGCGAGCCCGCAAGGCTGCGCTAAAGCCCCCAAGATGAAAGAAGAGGCACGTGGGGGAGCGTCCCGTTTGAAAGCTACTGCATGCTCTTTCCTAAGCCCTCCTGTGTTGTACGAATCTTAAAATAGATCGTTATGTGCTCGCAAAAGCAGCTTCATAGCTGCGGGAAGAGTCATTTGCCGCCCTAATGAATACGTGTCTGCATTCGTTAAGTCTGTTCATGCTTTGGAAGTTCTCGGGTACGTGATTGCCGCAAGCGCACGCTGGAAGCAATGAATACACTTACATTCGCAAACTACTATGTGGAACATGTAGTGGTGTTGTTGTGTGCAAAGTATTAACAAGCCACGACCGTCACATCCGCTTAGTCTACAAATTGCGGCAAGCACCGTCATCTTTGGACACGTTCAATCGAGCACGCATTAATGTTTGATTAATTTTCGGAAATGTCATCTTCAGCTTAGGGTCGTATAATATGTAACTAGATTTGCTATGTAATGTTTGTCGAAAGTTTGTTTTTCTGTCGAGATATGCAGGCCTACTTTGTCCTTCTCTTATGAAGGACGCTAGGAAGATTGCAGATGACTTCCCTCCAGCATCGCTAAAACTAAGTGCCATTTTGCGGGATTTAAACAGTGGCTGTCAAACGGAAGGACGAGCCCCCTGCCATGGGAATGTAGAAATTCCACCACTGACCGCATAATACGCGCAAGACTCATTGTTTTTTTCAGCATGTAAACACTTACAAATGTTTTATATATGTAAAAAAGTATTTTTTTTAATAAGCGTGCACCGTTCATTTTAAGCCGGGTGGTGGTGCACGCCTGCATTCTAGTACTGTGGAGCCAGTGAGGGTTTGTGGATCGCACCAGGGGCGGTTTCTTCATTAGGGCGATTGGGCGACGCACCACCAATGTCATTCAACCACAGAGTCACGCTAGCCGTCACTGTCAGCCTCTGGATATAGTCCAATCAGCGTCATGTCACGTTCTGTGGAGTACCGCCTCTTTTGGGGCGATTTCACTACGGCTGAGAATCGCCCCGAGTGGCCCCATAGACTTAGATTCAAAGATGTTTTTTTTCGAACGGGGGCGCTCCAATGCATTCTCTATGGCTTCCGGGAGGGCATGCACTAACGTGCTTACGTCATCATACGTGCTAACGTCATCATACGTAAGCACGTTTCATCCAACAATATAATGTATCGCTACCTAGTGGAATCTTTAATAAAATAAACTTGAGTGGTTTGTTTTAATAGTGAGTATATAAACAAACAAGATGTATTGTAAGAGTCACTTTATTTTTCATTAATATTAAAGAAGTGAAGTTGCCTTTACATGCTTAAGCTGTTAATTTATTCATTGCATGGGTGGACCTTATCCTTATCAATCATCCAGACATTTGCCCCCCCTGAGAGATTTTGCAGGAGCCGCCACTGGATCGCACAAAAGTTTTTTAACTCCCTTCCTGTGGGTGTCGAGGTGCAATACCCCTGGCTTTCCAGGAAAATTCAGTGCATAAAAAATGTGGACTCCACCTGTTCCGACTGTATGGGATTGAGTTTTTCCCCCTTGCACGCCTAGAGTTTCTCCAGGTCCTCTGGTTTCCTCCCACACGTGAAACACTCGTTAATTGGTCACAAACACCGTCATATATGGAGGACCGAAGAGCTTGGGAAATGTTTTGGCGCCAGCTCACCGATTGGCTGCCTTCCTGCCTCTCTGTGATTCCTCCCCGCACCTCTGCGTCATTCTCTTTCTTCGAGAGCGAGCGAATACTGTGGCATGTTTCGTGTTGAACTTATTATTATTGTTCTTGCAACCATTTACATTGATTAGTACGGACCTGTTTCGTGCTGCTTGCTCACGCGACACGTGCGTTTGTGCTCCGCAGACATCAACGAGTGCCAGTTCCGCGGCATCTGTCCCAACGGCACGTGCATCAACCAGCAAGGCAGCTTCAGATGCAGCTGCATGGAAGGGTACCTGTGGGACTCCTTTGGCCAGGAATGCATGTGTAAGCCGCGCCACATCACAATTGCCACTTTATCTGGGGCATGCTCGCTTATTCTCTGAGGTTTCAATTTCTATCGTTGCTTGTTTCTACATGCGAGCAGAATTGTTCCCTTCCGATAGAACTGTTGGAATTAACATTCCTCAAACACACAGGTGCATACCTTCAACTGCATCGGAACATCAGCAGGCTGATTGGCACATCTGCTGCATAAACAAGCCACGGTGCGATTTGTGGCCATGCAACACTCTGGACCATATAGTAAGCCACCAAAATCTGCACTCGTTCGACGGAGGAGCAATTGCAAAACGTCATGAACTCTCTGTGGAAGAAGCCCTCTCGTCATGAGCAGACCTCGACGTTGCACCTAGCCCCTGAACATATTACGATACGCAAGAATAGAATAGGAATTATTGACATTTTAGACATTTTACCAAACAACTAAAATGAGCAGCTCAGCACACATCTCCCTTTGCACACCAGGGAAATGTTAGCCAACTTCAGAGAGGTCCATTGATTTATTATATAATTCGAGTTGGGTGAATTTACAGGTGGGTGACAGGAAATGTTGGTTTTAGATTGCAGTGTTTAAGTAGTTATTAAGGTGTATATTTCCCAAGGGAAATTTAATTCAGGATTATTTAAACAAACGTTTGTGGCGTTTTCAGCCCAGGTGGCAAAGAGGGAGGCATGTAAATCTTAAGGGCTAATAACAATTGTCAGTTAAAGTGGCTTAAACAGATTAACTTCATATGTATACTTACAATATAAGACTGAATAAACCTTCGAATCGCGTCATACTTGGCGACAGAGTCAAATGAAGACGTACAGACAGATTTGCTGATTCTAAATTAGATTATAGACTGTTTTAGGGGGACTGATATGTTATGCTGCACCAGTGTACCGCCAATACGTCCACATGTTGTTTTTGAATGGAGACGATTGCCAAACGTGGAAAGGCGGACGGCGGTGGCTACGGGCACTGGAGTGTTGGAGACCCCCTCGCCTACAGCAAACCATGGAGCAAACCATGGGCCCTGAAACGACACACGATAGGTGCACATGCTACTACTTAAGCAGCCGCCAACCAAACAAAAAAATCCCCCCTCCCCCCCATACAATTGCTGTACCTATGAGCAGAGTTCAAATTAGGGGCGTCACCGGGAGGACGGTGGAGCCTATAACTTAGCTACCCCGTGCAGGCGGGATGATTCACCTCTAATTGCTCCCAGCTGCCCACCGCCCAACGGCACCGCAGGTGCGTCCACTTAACGGTTTGTGCAAACGCCCCCCCCATCCCCTCCACACTTTGCTGTTTTTAGTGTCAAGCGGAGGGAGTTCTGGTGAGGCGCCCCAGTTCAGGGTCAGGTCACCGAGTCGTCACCGCCGTAGTCGGGAGGTGCCACAGTGAATCTGGCTCAGCTAGGGCAGTGGAGTTGGGTGACTCTCACGATGGCATTATTCATGATTCACAATGGGATCGTTCGGATTGGTGGAATTGTTGAAACCACAGGATTCATCAATTCAGGAATCTCCAAGCTTCAGTTAGTTCCAGCTATGTTGGTCATCAGAGTTGTTTAACTATACTTCACCACACTGGACATTGTGGGCTGGTGAAGGGGGGGTGGGGGACAGGACCGGTGTAGATATTCCTCACACTGTGAGCGGATGCTTGGAAATCAAATGTCGGTGAATGTCACAGCGACCCATTCTTCATGAAGACGAGGCTGTGTATCCCCATCGGCAGTCTTTAACCATCGTTGGATATTCCACATCCCATCCCGGTGGAGAGGCCAGTGTCTTCATATATCGGCCGTGAGCGACTCCTGAGAAAGTATTACCCATTCCAGTGACCATCGAAGGGTGTTGAACCCTGATGGGCGAGGTAGAGGCCCTTCCTGAGGGTATAGAGAGGGAGAGCACGAAATTTGCCTGGCTCAGAGTTGGAGATTGCCACTTTGCACACTGTGCGACCCAGAGAAATCCGGTAACATTTTAAAAGTATCAAAAAACAAAAGCACAAATGAAAAAAAAGTTTTTTGAATTAACGTAAGATCACTTTTCCGTTAGTAGACATATACTATCAATCACACCCTAAGACAGTAAGAACAATATTGATGTGCACAATTAAATTTGCATTAAAATTTAAATGATCTAATTTAATTGGTAGAGTGCACCATGGGAAGTATGAGCTTTGTTGTCTTTCCCCGCACCTCCGAGTCGCACGGTTGGCTACGTACGGTGCGGAAGAAGTTCAACGCCAATACAACGTGCATGAGTCAGGGTATTTGTTCCAGATTAACTCAGCTATAGGTTTGCATTTTTCTGTTAAATCTAGTCACCAATATTTGTTTATTGCCCCAGAATTGAACAAAAATCAGCAATCAACTTTGTAACGTGAGGGCTTTATAACCCGTGCTTGTCACCTCACCCAATCCCAACCACAAGAGGAAAAAAAATACAATCTCAACGCGGCTCCATTGCTCAAATTCCAATAACAATTGAGCCCATTATTACTGTACCGTATTTAATCAACGTTAAAACACGCAGGAGTGAGACACGGCATGGGCGGGTGGACGGGCACGGCAGAGCGTGCCACAAAACCCAGCCGAGTCGTAAGCAGTGAACACAATCGAGAAACAGTTGGCTCTGTGTTCCACTGACCTGCCCGCCCGTTCACCGCAGGCACGGGTGGCGCGACGGCTCCAGGGGACGCCGCTTGACCCCGCGGCCCGGAGAAATTAGAATTGGGCGCGGTTTAGCAGCCGTGGGGTGGTGCCAGGGACCCCGGGGGAGCAATGATTGCACGAGCGTGCAGCTAACTGCCTGCAGCTGGGATATCGGTCACGTTATGGTCAAGGTGAATTAAATATTGTTTTACCTGGGTGCGGCATCGGCCGGCCCGTTGGGAAGCAATGGCCTCACGCGCTTTTCCACGTGGGTTTATTAGGACGCGGTAATAGAGATGCGGGATGTACCATGTGCACTACTTGCTGCGACATGTGACCCAAAGAAAAATGGTCATTGACGAAGAAAGATATGGAACACGATATGAATGCGCACAAGCAAGCGGGGAGCAAAAGGAACGCGTTGATTTACATCGCGAGACGTAAAGAGGAAGACACCGATTCGAGATCACGTGCAAGAATTGCCAACGTCGAGGGGGTGGCAGTTGAACACGCAGCAGGCTTTCGCGACCAGTATTATTCATAATAAAGGTTTTTGGGTTAAATCGCGTAAGTATACATGTGTCGCAACCCTCCACCACCCGACATGGCCAATCAGTAAGAAATGTGTCACGTTGACAAAAGACAAATAGTTCACTACTTTAGCCCACATTTACAATTTGAGTAGTACGGCGTTTCAATGGTAATTACATCCAGCATCTTCGGGCGATTTGCCAGAATAGTGGGGTGGGAGTTCCCCGGCCACAAGGTAAACATCATTGGCAAATAATATCTGAAGCGGTCCGGTGCCCCAACCCTTCCCCAAGCCACACTGACCAGCGTGGTGAAGTATGGTCAAACAACAATTGTATCTAAATGACACCCTCATGATGGCCTCTCTCTCTGTCTCTCTCGTCAGCGGACATGGTGTTATCGTCCAAGATCGACATGTGCTACCGAGCCATGGACGGGCAAGAGTGCGTTCTGCCGATACCACTGCCGCTGACAAAGCATATCTGCTGCTGCAGCGTCGGCAAGGCCTGGGGCAAGAACTGTGAAAAGTGCCCACCGCAGGGCCTATGTGAGTGCATGTGCACTCATACACACATACACACATACACTCATACACACATACACGCATACACTCATACACTCATACACACATACATACAAACATACACTCATACACACATACATACAAACATACACTCATACAAGGGGTAATGCTCAAACTTCCTCATAGATGAAGTTAAGATTCAGTTTCTGCATTGCCATGTCCTGAAAACCTTGCAGCTCAGGCCGACAATGCCTGGTGTCCCCAGGCAGTCTCCCATCCAAGTATTAATGCAGCCTCAACCCATTAGCTTAGCAAACGAAAGCTGACTGCGATCGGCCTAATTTTTATTTTGTTATCACAAGCAATTAATGTATATTTTTTTCGATTTAAAGCTTTGTGACTTATTTTATTATTTCCCTTCTACGTGACTTTACCGAAATAACCAAGAAGAACAATTAATGTATGTATGTTACAGTATGTTGAACTTCTTTCGCAACGTACGTCGACAACTGTGCGAGTCGGAGGCGTGGATCATAGACGTTTTATGCGTCCCTCATCACTGCTGCTAATTACCCGCCCCAACTTAAAACCAGCCAATAAAGACAGTCACCTTGTCACACCAATATAGCCACCCAACCAAGCAGCAATCAGCATTAATTGTTACACCGGCTCATCTGCAGGGCTGGCCTGATGATGTTATGGCACCTACTTAAGGAGCCAAATCAGCAAGCTCTTTTACAGGAGAGTTGAGATTCGCCAACGCCGGAAGATGCTGGACGCAATCTCCAGCGAAACCATCACGAACTATTGTCACCATTATGCTTGCTTCTCAACAGTCTGGTTTGCTGAAAAAAGCAAATCAATGTCGGAAGGTGGAAGGTTATCGTAAAAAAGCGAAAACTACACCTCCACATTCCAACCTAAAATAAACTAATCATGAATCCTAATGATGCATAATGTTAAACCATTTGCATGTGACTGATGCAAGGCAACACGATGGACTGACATGCCTTCTTGTTTTCAAATGTAAAAAAAAGCCTCCTTCAAAGAAACGTGCCCGGCTGGGATGGGCTACCACTTCCCTTCGTCTGAGATGAAGCTCAACGTGCGGAAGCTGACGGACGTGGAGCAAATGCAGATAACGCCGGAGCGACCGGCCAAGGCAGCGGCCGCCGTGGACCCAGGGAGAGGGGACGCGCTCCCTGGGGCCCCGCGCCTACCCCAGCACCACGCGCCTCCCAAGATCGACGTCTGTAAGGTCACACGCATGCATGCCCCCCCCCCCCCCCCAAACAAAGACAAAGATCCTCCGTATAGCCTTAACTGACCGTGGGCAAGTGCTGTTAGCGAGCAGTGACGATGTTTACACACCGCACTAGGGACTCATTTAGGGCTGAGTCGAACCAGGTGGAGGCCCAGAACCGGTTCAGATAATCGTCACTGGTGTTGGCCGTGAGCTGGAATGGAACTCGGGTCGCTGGACTCAGTGCAGTGTGCTGTGTGTGTATATGTGTTGGACTTATTTCGCATTGTATGTAGCGAACCGTACTAATTGGAGGTGCGCTAACCGCTACACTCCCCAACACACACTTTAAGATGCAAATCCTCCGCTGGAGAAGAGTCTTCCCCATACTAATTGGCTACTGGGAATCGTTCGATTATATTATTCTTCACCGTGCCGGTCGCTCCTCGATGTTGAAGGCAGATCGCGTGGACGAGGGGGCGTGGTGCAAATGGTGACGTTTTCCATAGTGCTACATCGTAGGGTCACTACATAAATGGTGAACCACGGTGGCGAGATGTTAACTACCTCGCCTGGTACACAGGAGGTCGTGGGTTTCATCCCGACCCTGACGCCTGCATATTTGGAGTTTGCATGTTTCTCTCCCCGTGGTCACGTGGATTTTTCTCTCGGTCCTCCGCATTTAGAGTATTTGGCTACTATCAATTTCCACGCGATAAGCCGCTTCGTTGAGCTATCGTTTGTGGCCAGGTCGCTTCTATAGCTCAGTGGGCCTTAGCTGGTAAAATAAAAATAGTAAATAGTTACAATTTGTAGAAGTAATTAAGATTGACAGGAGAGCAGTGGCGCAGGGGTGAGCGCACGTTGGGTGCGACGAACCCGGCAAAGTTGGTTCATATTCTTCGGTTCTTTCGGTGAAGTCACGTCGATATAAAATAAAATTAAAAATGTAATAAAATTTAAATTAAATTTTAAAATAAAAGCATGAAACCCACGACGTTAATTAATTATTTGGTTTTCTCGTTTCTGTTTCTTTCTCACTGGTATTGTTTTCCGAGGTATTATCATGGCAACAATGCAAATTGTATGCGTGAAAAGCAATCCAATTGGATTCTTGAAGATACATATATATTTTTTAATCTGCCACTAAATTCTCAGATTTTCCCTTTGTACCACGTGTGCTTGACTTTGCATCGAGCTATTTAACAATGTCACGCGTTTAACTTCAGCATATTTTTTTTACCTTTTGTGTTGTATTTCAGATTCAAGTCTTGATGGCGAACCGGTAAGAAAATATCGTTCGTGTAAAATATTCAGAAACTCGTGAGAGAGGAGGTGGCCTCGTGGCTAATTATCTTCGAGGTTGAATGTCGTGTCACGAAACTGAAGACGGACCGCTGTGATCCTTGGGTTTAAATCTGAGCAGACATCCGTGACTGGCACAGCGGAAACACTCGTTCCTCACAGCAAGAAGGACTTGGGTTTGATTCCAAACTCGGGTGTCTTTTTTCATGGGTTTGCTCCGGGTTCTCTGGATTACTCCCATGGAAAACCAAAGAACCCTTTGCAATGTAACTGATTGCAAGGCCAAACTTCCCAGTTATGAAATATTACCTGCAAATTACTAAATTTGGATGACGCATTGTAAAATCACTCCCCTGCTGCAAGTACATGGCAGGACCCTCCTGAAACGGAGTCTGGAGACTCAGTGACGCTTTTCTGGGTAAAGAAGCATCATAATAACTAATTTATTAAACCGAATTGTCAACGTGTTAACGTGTTAATGGTCTGAGCCCCATCAGCAGACTACAAATGTTTTTACTTTAGATTATTTCCTTGCTTGAACATATTCTAGCTCTGCGAATTCTTGGTGACTCACATCTAACATGTATAGAAGATGCATCTCGGGAGTTGAGAGGTCTATTGAAGTAACTTCCAAAGTAGTTCTATTACTTTTTTTCTGGGAACATTCTCTGAGACAGGGTTGTAGTACACGGAATGGAAAGTTAATTGTCTCGTGATATTACACCAAGAGCACAGTTGTGATAATAATTGGGAAAATATGGAGAGAGAAAAAGCAAAGGTGACAAGACATGTGGGAAAAGCAGCATCCCCTTTATCATTATTCTACTTGGTTTCTGTTTTCAATTCCACCAATCAGTATCTTAACATATTAATAAACATGGAATATTTCGTAAAGCTAACATTCATATTCTTAAAACGAATAACTGCTCGTATTTGTTTAAGCATGTCTATTATTTGTATGCCATATATCGTCATGGAAGTGAAATCTTAACGTCCTGTACAATTACATTCCTACGTGTTATGTTGTGACAGGTGATAACAGCTCCAAGCACCGATAACGCCAAAAAAACTATCACAGGTTCGTATGTATGCTTTTATTTGTACGGGACAAACTAACAAAGAATGCACAGAATCAATGAGAGACGGAGGCTTTTGCACAGAGGAACGCTTGGATTAGAGAAAATATGCATGGCAGAGGGACATCGCATAGATTGTGATTAAATATGAACGGGCTTTATCGGGACGCGTCGCTCAAAGGGATGAATGGTTGGTGGTCGAGGCTATTGATGGAAAGGCAACCACGTGACGGAGAATTCCATCCGGGACTGAGTCTCCCTGCTTGGGTGCAGCGACGCCGTCTGCTCGTGCGCAGCAGCAACGATGGATCGTCGCATCGCCAGACAATGAGAGATGGCAACGGCTTGCGGAGGTTTCCATTCACAGTGGTGGATTGCACTTGGCTGATGATGATGACGAGTGATACTCATTGATCCTTCATATGCAGTAGCATTGCATGTGTACATGTTCATGCATTAGTAAAGTCCCTATGCTGACAGGTTTGCCCAATAGCAAAGACTTCCCTTGGCCATTTCACTGATGGTAATTTACCAACTGTGCACCAATGGGCATTGAAGACATGTTGTGAATGTATTGTTAAACGCATGCCTGTAGTCAACACCGACCTCTTTATAGCTCGACTGTTCACTCATTTGGTTGCCACTTCATAGAGAGTCGTCGATAGGGCATGGAGATTTTGTAAGTTGAGCTCTTGGACATCTTCCCTCAGAGGTTAATAAAATAAGCACTATCTCCTGAGATATTAACTACTTTGTTTATGTTGCTTTGGGAGTTGTGTACAAGCACTGACCACAAAAACTCAGTTTACCACGTAGGCTTTCGCGACCAATATCCATAATAGAGGTGTTTGGATTACATCACGTAAATACAAATATAATATAAAAGTAACTCGTCAATAACACGACCAATAAATGCTAAGAAGATAGGTGCTATTGCCAGAAACGTTGCCTGCTATATCGTCTTCCTTGCAAGGCCACAGCGGAGTGTGTGTGGACCGATTATCTCCTAAGAAGTTAGCGGCGGCTATCCGATGAAGAGGCCGATCCTTGCCGTTTGGAATTTCCAGCACTGACACTGGCCAATGCTCATGTCAGCTTGGAGACACACGGTGCCGTGAGTTCACCGGTGTGTCATCGTCGCGCAAAGGCGTCGTCTTTCCACAGCGCACGCGCCGCCTCCACCCCAGCAGGTGTTCCCGTCGTGCTCGTCGCGTGGGCCGGCGTGTGCAGTCACGATGAGCGGCGTGTGCAGTCACGATGAGCGGCGTGTGCAGTCACGATGAGCGGCGTGTGCAGTCACGATGAGCGGCGTGTGCAGTCACGATGAGCGGCGTGTGCAGTCACGATGAGCGGCGTGTGCAGTCACGATGAGCGGCGTGTGCAGTCACGATGAGCGGCGTGTGCAGTCACGATGAGCGGCGTGTGCAGTCACGATGAGCGGCGTTGCGTCACGTGCCTCTGCTCACGAGGCCGGGCAACGGAATAGCTCACGGGGCCCATCTTTAGAAGATCGCCGATGAGGCGACGTGTTTCTAATTTTCGAAAAGGAATGTGCTCGTGAATTGGCGGGTAATTGCACGCAGTTAGAAATTGTTTGACATGGGAAGGTGAGTTTTGTGCAGGTGTGTTCTAGCTCACATCCTGTGTATTTATACACCATGTTTAACCCTTAAATATTATCTTTTAACGTATCTACGGTTGCTTATGTCATCATCATCATCATCAGATGTTGTCTATGATTGGCTGAATGAAGGCTTCCTCAAGTTGTTTCTTTTTCTCCTGGTTCCGCGTTGCCTTGATCCATCTTGCTCCTGCAGGCGACCTCACCTCTTCGCCCCACCTCATCTCTCAACCTACTTCCTCGTTCCACTTTGTTCTCTGATTCACGTGGTCCTCTCTCTGTCTCGGCGTAATTCCAAACACGTTTCCCTTCACGCTGCTTCGTGTACTCTGCACATTTAGACTTATTTTCTTTGTAATTGTGCATTTTTCCGATCCATTTGACAAAGCAGCTATTAAGCACTGATTGAAGGCGTACTTCTATCGGCATTTTTTTGCCTTGCATTTTTTAATGAAATGTCTTTTTTCTTAAGTAGTACCACCTGCTACCGATCACCTCTTCATTTCATCATTTTGATCTCGACCCACCTTCAAGACTCATGCACTGTGCCCGAGGTGCACATGCTCTGCATAAAAGTCGTGGCCAGATGATACTGCCATGTGCTGGTGCTTGCTAAGAAAAGGAAACAAACTGAATTAGACGGCACGCTTTGAGAATTATGCCCCATTCATACCTATGGTCACGCATTCTGGAACAAAGCATCCAATCATCAATTAATTTCGAGTTTTAAGCTCGCGTTAAATGCATACAATTGCAGAAATTAAAAATCAACGTTTTTGTTATTCGTGCGTGTGACACCCACAGCCACTGAGGTGCCGACCATTCATCGCAGTGTCGGAATAAAAGTGTTGTTTATTAAAGCAAATCGCGACTCTGACTCGCAGCATTTTGCCCGATCACTGGTTGGGGGTGGATGTCAATTGTCCACCCTTAATGGTGATGTATATTTGTAATCACAGTGTAAATTCAATATTCTTCACTTAAACAGTTGCATATATATAAACGTACACACGCACGCACGCGAATGACTGCCGGTTTGTGAAGCACGTTCAACATAACGCACGACTTAAAACAATCGCACAGCAGATACTTCTTTCCAGCGATAATTTGATACAGTTGCCACACTCAAAATCATTTCCAGGTGAGTCCTGGAAAGACCTCGTGGGAACATGAGACCCACTCTCGCAAAGCCGAGCATGAAAAATGTATCTCCCTCTGGCAAGGGCACTTATGCTCTCTACGGCAGTGAGCAAGACCCGCGATTAAAAACTCGTGGTGCCGTGCGCCGATAATCCAGCTGTTCGGACAGGAGACGTGGTGATTGATGTGCAGTTACCCGGCCTGGAGCGCTATGATGTGGTCAGTGCTTGGTAGGATACCAAGAAGGGTTTATGACCTACGAGTACAGTAAAGCCTCTCTATCTGCGAGGGTTACGTTCCTGAAAATGCTCGTGAATGCAGAGTTAGCGAATGCAGAAGCCTTGTTAAACGGAGGGAAAAAAAGGGGTTATGTTCTTGTTACGAGTGAACATGGGGGGGGGGGGGGAGAATTTTAAATATTTAATAAAAAAAATTACAAAAAATATGTAATAAAGTTTAAAGAACCATGTGCTTTTTTAAATTAACTTTGACGATGATGATTTGACGGCAATGCAGGTGAAAGTGGTGATGATGGTGAGGAATTCAGGAGGATGACTCCGCGGGGAAATGCAGGTGTTTGATAACAAGGCACAGTGGTTATAGTGAGGACGAAGCAGGCAGCCGAGGGGGCGTGCCGAATCGTCACGGACATGTCCCAATGGAATCTGGCGCGACGGACACTCCTGAGTGCTGGAGTCCGGCGAGTCGCGAATCGGGAATTGGAATGCATTTAGTAACTCGTGGACATGCGGAACTGGCGAATCTCGAACTCGCACATAGTGAGAGTTTACTGTACATTTTTTACAGCGATTTACGAGTATACCAGTTGCATCCAATGTGCACAATTACTCAACAAAGAATAAACATTATCCCAGGAGTGAGCTCCCCAGCTAATGCTGTCCATGCTAAATAAAATACCCCATTAAATATAAATGGAATTATTTTTAAAACCTTGTTTCAAGGAGCATGATCAAATCCATCACCTATAATGTAATGCACATTATACACATAGTTAATGAACGTAACAACGAATCCTTGCCCACGAACAGAAGTTGACTATGATTTCATTATTTTACTAAAGTAGTCTAAATGTGTCCAATTCATGACTTTTGAGTGACCCATCATTTGATCAGCCATTTTGTCAGTGATCAGCAAAAGCTTTTATAGATGAAAGACCAAAATAGGTCTTTCAAATTATTGTATTTTTCTTTATCTTGATGGTTAATGTCCAAAAAACAAGAAAGCACAAGGTTTCCTCTCTCTCGCAGAGGACACGGTAGACTGATGCGTAAGGTGATCCCTGTGCCCTCGTGCGTGTGTCACTCTACCACACGTTCTACCTGTGGCATCCTTGTGTTGTCCAGGTTTTTCATTGGAATTCGTATGTACGGTGCTTCTTTTATGTATGAGGCCGTGCGGAAACGACGCAATGACATTAAGCGTACGAGCCCTGTGCCCCTGTACCATTCCCGTTCTGTTGTAATGTGAACTAATGCGTACTTTATTGAGGAGAGCGATATTAGCATGTAAAATGAAGATGAATTGATTGAGAGGTGAGGTCCCTGACGGCTGCACTCTTCCCGCAGGCACGGACGTTCACGAGACCTCGGCCCTTCAGACTCCACGGCGCACTTCTCTCCCGGCCTCCAGCATCGTCGTGAGCCAAACTGAGGCCCTCTCCGTCGTGAAGGCCACCGGTAAGACACCGCACGGCGTGGGACACAGCATGGCCAAGCAATCACGAATATTATCTTGGCATAGGCCGAAATAAATTTGCCCTTCTCTCTGCTGTCTCCCACTGAAAATCCTCCACAATTTTGTCCCCCTCCTATCTATCCTCTTTCATCTGTCCCGATACCCCCTCTCGGCATGTCCCGTCCTCTGACCAATGCCTGCTAGCAAGACCTCAATTTTACCTAAAATCCCTCGTCACTCCGTTTCCCATTCTGTCCCCTCGGTTTGGAATTCCCTCCCTCTCTGTACTCATCGAATTGATGCCCTCCCATTGTTCAAATCTCATCTTGAGACCATCACGTGCTTCTCACTGGTTTTTAAAGCATTGCCGCTCACTGTGCTGGAGTCGGCTTTCCCCTGCCCAGGTCCCCGGGAACCTCGCAGTCTCTCATTGCTTATCCCCACCTTTGTCTCCCCCACCACCCCAACTCTCTTCACCTTCCTTTGAACTTATCTCCCATCCCCCACCTCTTTTGCCGTTGTAATTTAAACTAAACTATAAACTATTTTTTATTTTACCAGGCCAGTCCCATTAGCTATATAGATCGTTTTCAGAAGTGAGCTAGCTGCAAATGATAGCCCAACGAGAAGTGGCTTATCACGTGAAAATGTATAGCAGCCAAATACTCTTAAACGCACGTTGGTTCCAAACGTGGAGGGAAAAACCGGAGGACCCGGAGAAAAATCCACGCGACCACGGGGAGAACGTGCAAACTCCACATATACAGGCGTCAAGGTAGGGATAGAAGCCATGACCTCCTGTATACCAGGCAAGGGAGTTAACATCTCGCCACCGCGGTAATAAACATCCCCCCTCCACCCTCCCCCCTCTCCCTCCTCGTCATCAGAAGGATCTCCTCCCCTCTTATCCCGAGACGTCCTTCTCACCTCCTTTCCTGCCCGTGTCTTCACCTCTCCTCCTCACTCCTTTATTGTGGCCGGTTGATATTTATTTATTTAACCCGCCATCTCTGAAAGCTATTTTTAATCTATTCTTAAAATCGTGTTTTAAATGAGTGATGTTTTATTGCGTGTAAAGCGTACTGAGATGCCCTGACGTGAAGGGTGCACTATCAAGACCAATTTGTTATAATCACTTAACCATGGACATGTTACATTTTACAATTTGCATTATTCATGCACTCACACGTTGAATTAAACCGTACGTGCAAAGTATAAGTTGTTTAGTGTCTAACTGCGCGGTGCCAATGGAGCTCTCGAAAACCGTGAATGTAGAGGCCACTCGTGCCTGTCGGGTCCTGGTGAACCCAGCATCTATGACGTGCAAATCACACCTCAGCAATATACACGTCATGAAACCGCTAGCGTGTACTGTGCAGAAAGGGCATTAATATATATATAATATATGTATACGTGTATGGGGCTGTATTTGGGCAAAAAATGCCATTGCTGGGTGGCTCAAGTCTCTTGATTGGCTGGTAGCAGGGCCCCTTTCAGGGAGGAGTGGGGTTGGATTGTATTTTGGAGGACATCGATATGTAACTCGTATCGTTCAAACAAGCGCTTTTCCATTCAGCTCCAAATGGAGCGACAATCAAAATGCCTCCTTCAACGTCTCTATAAAAGCGACCGCTGGAAATCAATGAAAACTTGGCCTCGCGTGAGCCTCGCGTGAGCCATATTCCATGAAGAACCGATGATGATTTTGGAACTAAAGGTCATGGTTATGGGAACAAACAAACAAACATAAAATTGGCATCTGGGGGTCTAGCAGGAAATCTATTCCAGAGGAATTGTAGATCATTAGGATTGTTTGGCTGCAAGTGCTCCAGAGACAGAATCCGTTAACTCATGTAACAAGCAATTGGACTTGTTCTCGGTAAATAAGGTGTTTGGAGGAAACGAGTGAAATATTTAGGGTAGGGGAATGGGAAATTTACGTCTTCTGGGAATGTAAAGCAGTGTTGGGAAAGGGCGTCGATCATAGAGATGAGCCAGACGGGCCACACGGCTTCTCTTCCCATTACAGAATGGTTTGTGTTCTTATTTGACTGAAATTGAAATGTAACCATGTGACTTCCTCTCCCTGACCTCTGTGCTTCTCCAGTGCTGCTTCTATCTCCTCTGTTAGTGCTTTGCAGAGTGGACACTTTGCACAGGGCTCAGTGACCACTCTGCACCATAATAGCCGACGCAAATGCGCTCGCTGCATGCCACATTGGTATTAGGTGCATTTCCAATTGTGCCTGAACTCTGTTTCTTGGCCTGTCACGTGCCTAACAAGAGCACGTCTTCCACGTGTGCCAAGACAAAAAGAATCAAAACAAATTAATCAATATAACCCGCCAAAGCCCCACGCGCTGTAATGAAGGCTATTAATCATTAGTGGGTATGTGTCCTGAATTAGCTGTAAATTCTGCTGGAGACTGGCTCATGTAGTGCACTGGTGATAATGTGAATTTATTGGAGGGCTTTCTACGATGCAACGCTATTGCGGAAAGTGTTTCTTCCTTAGAACAACCGTAATGGGAATAAGAAGACAGAAGTTGATATTGGCCAAGAGGTAGTTAGCCAAGATTATGATTGTTATTATTTGGCTTAGCTATATGGCTGAGCCAAGCCCTTCATCCTCTGGTTATTGTTTCTTGAAGGAGATAAAACAACCGAAAGAACCAAAGAATAAGATAAAACAATAATTTGACACTTTAATATACAAAAATGTAAGGATCTTATGAGTAGGAGAGAATCAACATCTCCAATGTATTAATTTAATTCAAGTTTACCCATATATGTTTAACCTTTCATTTTGATGTAATTTTCCTGTGAGCCAGCTGAGAGAAATTTTGTGTCGGGGAGTTGGACATTAAAGTAAAGAACAAAACATCAGATGCCAGAACTGCCAAGCGTCTCATTTTGCAATAAAATCTCTGAGACTTGCACAATGGTATGCTTCGGTTGAACATGTACACAGCCCTCCCGGTGTGGCTCACACAAAGCTGTTTGTTCAAACTCTGTCTAGAGGCTGTAACCAGAAGCCCTGTTAGGCGCTGGCATTAACGCTGTTTATTGTTTTTGTTCAAAAGAGGCTTGTAGCCATGGTTAGCACGCTCGTTGTTCATTTGACACATTATGGGAAAGTCTGCGTTTCGAGTCCCATCGGTGAGGAATGTGAATTAACAGTGGATTACACCAGGGCACAGCGATCAGCTCACTGCAGGAACGTTCACCCCGTTAGCCATTCACTCGCACGCATGTGCGCTGGCGTGGCGCGGTGTTTACACAATTGCGCCGGGACGAGTTCTTTTGGCAGCGGCGTAGGTTGGCCGGCCTGATTTGCCAGCTCCGGTAATTCATTATGTCGGGAGGATTTTCCCCCCGGGACCGGCGCGGATGTGGGGCTTCGCAGATGCCCTGCCACCTCGATTGTTTGGTTACGCCGGGTTGATGTATGTCTCTCTGGCTCTTCCCCGAGCCAGGCCCATCCGTGGATTATTTTTCCCTCTGAGCACTTACTTGTCGTCATGAGCTCCATATGAGCAAGTGGCCCACAACAGTCAGTCTGGACGGGGGTGGAAGGAGATTAATAATGTGGAGTTATTAAGTCTCGCTAGCATGGACACGGCTGCATAGTTTAGTTTGTGTGGAAGTCTCAGACGAGCCAACACGTTCGCGATTTTCGTCGGAGTGCTTTTGCGCAAAAAAAAAGTAAAAATCAACAAAATGATTGCTGTATTGCTCCGAATTGCACATTATGCCATTTACTAAAATAAACACCGCAGACTGATACAACATATATTATTTTAGTTTGAAAGGATTCTTAGGATATGATACAACAATTGGTGCAACCTATTTTGCATTTCACATGCATGAATATCGAGGGGCGTGGTGGTATGTTGGATTATGAATTGCACTGTGAGGCATTACGTGCCCTTGATTTCGATTCCCAACAATGGAAACATCAGTGGTGAGTGATATCTGATCCAGTCCTAATTCCCTAGGGGTTGTAATTTACAATAAAAATTACGTACGAATGTTACTGAAATCAGCACACTGCATGTAGCTAAACACACGCTGTGTTTTTGTTTCATAATATCACACAAGATAAGTACATCGTATTCATGCAGTAAATCATTTATTTGTTAAACACTGCCTAGATTTTCCCAGCATGTCAGTTGAAACAATGGGACAAGTTTCTTGAATCCCCACACTTCTGTCCACCCGGCAGTGCCAATGGGCTCACCACAGTTAGTCGATCGGCGGGTCGCGTGTGGCGGGGTAGAGCGTGGGTACTCCCCTCTCGTCCCAGACGTGGGCTCCTCTATATGGGGCTGTCGAGAGCATCTTCTATCGGAGGCCCTTCTGCGAGTCTCGGGGTGATCAATCAATCGCATGGCTGCACCTTTAACTTTAGCTGCTATAAATTACCACATGATAAAGCACTTCATTGGGCTATCATTTGTGGACAGGCCACCTCTGAGAAAGAGTTATATAGCTCAGTGGGTCTTATCTGGTAAAATAAAAAATAAAATACTTTTCCTCTTACAAGTTTTTTGCAATGTTTGTGTTACAATGTGTGTCTTTGGTCCAGTGGTGAACACCTGCCTACAGAACCCGGACATCTGCGGACACGGCGAGTGTGTTCACCTGGACCGTGGGCACACGTGTGTGTGCAGTGCCGGCTACAAGCTCAACCCATCGCTCACTCACTGCATCGGTGCGTTCAGTCGACTTCGACTTCAGGCCGGTGGCCGTTTCTCACCAACAGCCGTTTCATTTCTAGGATTGGAAGGAGACGGGGAGGGTAAAACAAATGGCTAAGATCTGAAAAGTCTCACGAACCATCTGTGGCCAATAGATTTAATTGAAGGCTGATTGCGTTTGTTTTGAAATTCATAGTCTATTTGAAGAGCAAAGTAAGCGTGCACGCTTAACATCGGCCACTTCGAAAACAAACCTAAGCATGAACGCCCCAATTATTTCTCTTGACCGCAGGTAATTTATTAAAAGTGATTTTAATTGCAATGATATGTAATTGATATGTACTCAAGCAGTACAGTGACTTTAAAGATACGGCTCTGATTTTACTGCTGTGTTTATGGATTTTATTTAATGACACGGTAGAGTTATACTGCGATTCAGAAAACCCCTGGTTTTTTTTATCCAAGTGTCTTAAGCGTTTAATCCACCAGAGGTGTAATTAACATGCATTTAGTGATTGAGCCTGCTTCAGTTTGATGACTTGTTACGATTCGGTCTTGTGATTTGATTCAGGAAACTCGTTCTCAATGTTTTTGCCAGTGTGGTGAATATATTGCCTCTCATCACTGCAGGGCTTATGTGACTTCCATTATATACAACATATCATCACCATTAGCCATGACCAATCCACTGCTGGATGCAGGCCTCGGCAAGCTGCTTACACCTGTAATGATGATGCGATGAAACAATACATCCATCACTGATCTCATCCCTCTATCTCCTTGGTGGATGTCCTTTAAGACGCATTCCATTGCTGATCATTCCATTAGACCAGTGGTTCTTCACCTGGGGTGCACGCACCCCATGGGGGTGCGAGATGCACTTTCTGGGGGTGCGAGGCATGCCAATTTATTTTCTTTAGAAGGTAAATCATCGAAACACAAATTGAGCACGGGCATGTAAGTACAACTAGTTTGTTTCATCAACACCTATGTATTTATTATCAACGGGGAGCAAGGCTACATTAAAAGTGAATAACCACAGCATTAGACAGAGATCGAGCTTTAAGTAGAGCGAGTTGGTTAAGAGGCAACATCAACTTTTAATTTCTACTTCACAGCAAATGGGGCAGGGGGTACCTTACACCCTGCATCATTACCGGCTGGCTACATGAATTAAACCACTATTCACGCAAAGTTCCTACATTTTTTCTTAACGAAGCGAAGAATAGAGAAAGAGTTAAAGGGGAGGGGGGCGGAGAATGCAAGCATGGCTGGATGATAGACTCAAGTGGCGATTAGTTCAGTGATCCATTTTTTTGTTGCACATGTTTTCCTTGGCCACTGCCTCCCCCATTGCAGGAAAAACGATCCTTTGAAAACGCTGCCTAAATTAGAGCCGCATGAAGCGCAGGAGCAATATTCCCACGTGTAGCCATTCCCGAACACACCATTCTCTCAAGCAACATTATTTACGCCAAATATCGCTCTTTGCAATCCCGTCTAATAAAACAGGGTTCTTGCATCCAGGCTAATCTGCATTCGTATATTATGAAATTGCACCATTTTCTGTTTCAAAATTGCACGTTGTTATTTATAACGCCTACGATGTACTCCAGTGAAACTTTAATTCATTCCAAGTTATGCTCAGCAGTCGCAAACAATTTTCCTGTTTCGTCTTAAAGAACTAAACACGAGACAATGCCTTTTGGTTTCTGCTAGAACTCTGTTCTCCCCCTGCTTCTTGAGTTATCTACCTCAGGGTAGTTTCTTGGTTCACGTTTCCTCCATTGTATCGGATTATTTTTACGCAACTTCCCTCCTCCTGTGTTTTAAAGGAAAACGCCACGGCGGCTGCGTCTCGTAATCTCGCAGGACTGTGTGTGCGTGTGCGCCCAGGTTTGTATAACTTTATTTACATCCTAATTTCCGGGGGTGTCGCAGTCTGGAGATTATCGTAATTGTACTTCCAGAATTAAAGATGGGAGGTGGGGGCTGTGCCCTGCCCCCTGCCCCCCTCCCGCCGACGCTGTGGGACTGCGTGTCGCTGTGAGCGTGTCGCTACAGCGTGCGAGGCTGCGGGATGTAAATCTCTGCATGTCGCTGCGCGTGCAGACGTGGACGAGTGCGCGCGGAGCCCGGCGCCCTGCCCCGGGGGCCGCTGCGAGAACACGAGGGGCGGCTACCGCTGCGTCTGTTCGCAGGGCTACGCGGCCGCTCGAGGAGGAACCGAGTGCATCGGTCAGTTGGCGGCGCTTGCTGCCGTGTTCGCGTGTCCTGTGGGAGGTGTTTCCGCACGCGCGTTGTACGCACGATGCACTTACACCGCGGCGTACGTAGCCAGCCGCGCTGATCGGAGGTGCGGGGGAAGGACAACAAAAACTCAACACAATAAATCAGTTCCAAAGGAATGAGTTTTCAAAATATATTTAAAAGTGCTTATCTCTAGTGGCTTCTTAATATCGGAAGGAAGAGCGTTCCAGACGGCTGCAGAAGCGCATCTGTTATTGTTGTTCTGGTTATTGTCTCCCGCCAGTGCATGCTCGCTGCCCACACAGCAGGGGGTCGTCTGCGCGTCCCCTCGTGCGACACGAGCACGTGACCGCCACACTGCACAGTACTCGCAGCCTTGTCGAGACCACCAACTCAACAGGGTCGAGAGCGTGATCGTCTCCTAGCCTGTGGCGTGTGCAGAGAGCCGCGAGATCGCACGGCGTCTCTCCGGCGATGTTGAAGCCACCGAAATGCTGTTCCTTTTGTCGTTAAATATTCACGGAAATGAGGAGTCGATTCGGAAATCCATCTAATTATCTGAAATGTATTTTTCTGCAGATAAGCAGAGTAAAATTAAGCATATTAGGTAAAAATATGGGTGTGGGTGGAATGATTTTTTGTGGATAATGTGAGTTATGGGTAATGGAGTTGTGGATACGTGATGTTCTGCTGTCTTGTTTATTACTACTCTGGCTGAGTATAACATGCCTCAGTAGTAATCTGATTTTACTGCTTACTAATACAATAACCATGCCCAAACATACAAAACTAAAGTCGCTGCATTCATCAATAACACCGCATAACAACATCAGAATGTATTATAAATAGGCTGACATTTATAGAAATGACCCGTATTCAGAGCAAAGAGGGCGATGCTGCTGAGAGATTGGCTTTGTAGTCGGGAGATTGGATTTTACAATGTGGGGCACGAGAAATCTGGAACATTTTAGGCGGATTTACAAATGATTAGGTTTTTTTTAAACTAGGCATATTAACATTTAGAGACATCGTGTATTAATGGACGATCTTTAAAAGTAAAAATAAACAAAGTCACTTATATTGAAAGCAACATTATAACATTTCTCTGTAACAGCAACAAAAGCTTAAGTATGCTTTGTTGTATACATACATAAAATCGTTATATAAAAGTAATATAAAATATTAATGCAGCGCTGGATCATGGTGATTGTTGCACTGAGGCAGACTCCTTTATTATGCTGAGTATGATTGCCATGATACTGTGATACTTTAATATTTCGCACGATAAAAGGTCCACAATAATGGTCGTTTCTGTTTCGTCATATAAATGTTTGTCATATTTTACGTCCTGACAAAATCTACGTAAAATGATTAGAGCACAGTAACTAAAGTTCTAACTGGATAGCTATTAGCCATTAAAGTTTGTGCTTTGTAAAGTTTGCCCAAATAATTGACGGCTTGGTGGTGATGTGACTTCATCAGTTTTGTAGTTTGTGTAATTGTTCAAAGGTTTATTGTGTAACTGTCAACATGAGCATTATAAGTGTTATATTTTGCAATGTTGCAATGATTATAAGCCTTCTGGCAGGCTTAGACCATTCAACTGCTGTTGCAGAACTTTTAAGTAAACCTTTATTTGTTCTGGAAGTATAGCAAAGCACATAAACGATGCAATGAAACTAAGACGTACAACCACAACGTTACGGGAAACTGATATTCGATAATCATAATTTCGTGAAATTAATATTGTATCATGAAAAGTAATTTCGTGGCAAGCTAGAAAACAACTATTTCCCATGTGAAGCCATACCAATTATAAATATTCGAGTATGTGTGAACAAGTCTGCCTTAGCAGTTACCTAAACCCTTACAGTGTATGCGAAAGGACTGAGGAATTTAGAAAATGTGAAAATGTTCACACATTTCATGTAGTTTAGCATTCACAAATAGATTTCACTGAGAAAGCAAATGGACTATGTGTGCTGATGTACTCCACTGAGTTACACGACGCACACGTGCAAAGGAATGGTGCTATATGCTCCCCAACGATGCACAAACATGCTCACTTTATTGAAAACACAAGTCCTGCAAGACGCACAGTTGTTGTTTTTTGCCAGTGGACGTAGATGTTTAGGCCGTGACATAATCGGGCAGGAGCACTTTTTGTCGCCCGTTAAAGCGGTTTGTGGTTGGAGCCCAGTGGCAGCCCTGGTTAGTGCAGCCAACGGGGTTTGCATTGATGAATACATCAGTGAAACACTCGGCTTGTTTCGCAGTCAGGTGTTTAACGATCCCGTGACATTGTCTGCAAAATATCAGGCCACGTATTTCAGCGTCACAGTCCAAATTTTCATTTTTTTTTTAATCACTCGTTGATCACTTAATTGGCTAAAACCACAGTACACACGCTGCCCCGTACTGGGAGGCTATGCTCACTTGTGAAACATAGCGCCTTCACGATAGCCTTGTGCTCCTACAAGAATGGTGTGAATATCTAATGTACACAACTGTCATTCTTATTAGCTGCTGCAAGTGTGCTGCTGCTGCTGTGAGTGAGGAGGGATGGACAAAGTAAAGAAATCACATGGGAGCCCCATGAAGCCTGAATGTGATCCAATCACGTGGCTCAGAGTGGCTGCCCACTCTCCCTATGGCCACGATGCTTCAACGTTATTTGGAAGAGATCATCGGTATTTTTTTGATTAAATGTAATTCTTTAAATATGTGGAATGTCAATTTGATTTTTTATATTCTATCCGGCACAGTTTTGCACGAGTCTCCCCCAACTACCCCCAAAGTAAATACATTCGATGCGCTTTGCGTTAATTTATCTGCATGTTACATCTCAAACCACATTTCTTGGGGGGTGGGGAACGGTGGGGGGCAGGGTGCAATGGCTAAAACTCCAGACACAGACACACACACGCGTGTAAAGTGATACTACTGCGTCCTCTGTCCATTCCTGGCACCATCCCTCTCCCCCTCCAGACGTGGACGAGTGCGAGAGGGCGGACGCGTGTGATGGCAACGGGCGTTGCGTCAACACGGCAGGGGGCTACGCGTGCCACTGCCACCGAGGGTACTCGCTGTCCACCGACAAGGGCAGGAAGACGTGTCACGGTTCGCCCCCCGCCCCCACCGCACGCCGCCCGCGTGCACCACGCGTGGCCACCACCGCTCGCGACTGCCTCAGAAACAAACCCCAAAGCCGTCTCTTTGTTCTTTTTATCGCGTGCAATTCACATTTCACTTTATTTGTACTCTCCTCCAAAACAACGGGTACCGTATTTGCACTTCTCCCAACACGTGTTATTTGTGATACTGCATCTTGCCGTAGTTGATAAAATACTTTTCGCGATTTGCGAAGTCCACAAAAGTCACTTTGAGGAAGAGACTCGCCACTCCGAACTGGATGTGGAATGTATACCACTGGCCTTCAGCGCTTCAAACAGAGATGGCCACCGTTCCATAACCTTTGAGCAGAAGAAACTTTTTTGTTTATTTCTATATACTAATTTAATGGCTAGGTGAGACTCAAATAAACGTTGTGTTTCGTTTGCAAGGAAGAATTGATCAATATAAGTACAAGACCAACACTCGTGACTACGATATCACCACCCTTTGTCAATCCACCACTGGCTGAATGCATCCCCATGCCATTTCGGTGACGTGGATTGTTGGCCCATACTTCACCACTCTAGTAAATGTGGGTTCATATTCTTGGTTCTTTCGGTAAAGTCACGTAGATACAAAAACATTTGAAAATTAGAAAGCAAAAAATCGCCACTCTTTTATTTCACGTTAACATGCTAATCTCTCACATTAACACAGCCACTTCCGTGCCCTCGTCGAGGAGGCTGCTCTCCTATCTTACAGTTACATGATAATTTCTCACATTAACATCACTAGCCCCGGCCACTTCTTTATGACCCTTGGGCTACACCCATTTCAAACCTTTTAAAACAGTCTGCCTCAGCAGCAGGCCATGCTTTCCCACTTGATGACGGACGCTTGTGTTGGGGCCGAAACGTCGTGATTTATTTCATTTTATACCTATGTGACTTTACCGAAAGAACCAAGAATATGAATTCCTGCAGTCACGAAAGTTTTAGTCAAAATTCAGTGTGGGTTGTTGGGAGGCCGTTCAGACATCACCCACCAGTGATGTCAGCTGTCGCCGGGCATCAGACTGGCAGCCAGGTTCACAGTGCGGTGCGCAAGCCACTGTGTGCCATCTTGTTTGTCTGTCTCATTTGTGACTTGGTGCGCGTGACTTCTTGGTTGCGCAGTCCACGTCATGACATTGCACACTTAATTCACATTTGCATGCAACAACGAACCAATTCTACATCCACACGTCCCCAAAACATCCACAATTCATCTCAAGTCACGGTTGGACGATTGTCAATCCGTGTTGGACCGTGCACCACCATGGCATGCATCTAGATTCCTTTCGTAATTGTGATTCATATTTGCGTAACTCGTAAAATAAAAAAATCGTCGTGGCTTTCCTAAAAATTTAATTATTTTTTTTCAACGGGCTCGCGATGCATTTTTCGTTCTGACAAGAGCGATGGCTATAGATGCGCTCCATTCATGTGTGTAGCGTTAGTCAGCGGAGCTGACAAACAAATCCACCTCACTGGCGCCACAAACTTGGGTCTCTGGCGCCGCGGAGCAAGAGCTTAGTGGAAAGCAGTGGGGGGGGGGGGGGGGGGTAATTTCAATGTAGTGGCACGCTCACCCTTTGGCATTGCCGAGGTGTGCTTCGAGAAAGGCGAGGCCGTGCGGCCGTGCATGTGTTTGGAACGATGACCAAACGTTTCAGATGAATTGAATTGCGATTTTTTTTCACCGTTTTTTGACGTGCCTGATGATTCTCGGGGGCACTGGCCCATCTCAAGGCAAAAAACATGATGCTTTAGCTCCCACATATGCTTGTTATTTCCTACATTTTTGATGTATGTGAAAAAATTTCAGCGTCTTTGTGCACCGTTGCACAAAAAATGTTTGGTGCAATGTTGCGTTTTTGAGAAATTTTACTTATGCCAGAGGAATGTGAAATTTCTTACCAATGGCCCAACAGATGTACAATCTAAATTCGAAACAAGGAAGGGAATTTCTGAATCCATTTTAAACGTGCATTTGTCTTCAGAATAATGTTTTATATGAATGTGTACAACTTGCTGTGACATATGAATCATAAACGTGGACATTTATGAAAAAAATAGAAGAACAACTAAAAGGTGTTTTATAAAGCAAGGTGCTTCCTGGGAGTTACTCACGGATTGCTTTGCGTTTAGCGATGGGGGTTCTTTAAAAAAAGTTTTGGATAGCCCTGTGCATGAATGTATCCGGTTTACTCATGGCTAAGTTCCAAATATACACAACTTTATTGTAAAATGTTATTTCTATTGGGTTATTATTACAATAGCTATCGTGATCCCTACCCTGCCAGACAGATAGACAGAGCTAATGCATTCATGTTTTAAACCTTAGTTGGAAACGTTTAAAGATAAATACAAACGATCAAAACAACATAAACATGGAACACAAGGTGTCCACTAACGAGGTGGAGAGTACTCATGACTTAAAGGAGTTATTTCTTTTTATCTTAAGCATGTTTTAACCTAGGTGGTTATCAGATCGGAAAACTCTAATATCCATTCCTTGTTGTTTTAAATTCCAATGTCAAATATCTACTCAGGTGGCCTGAGTGTTTCACCTGTACAGTGTAGTGCTTATCACTTCCCAAGAGAGGATTTCCTAGTTGAGAAGCTGCCTGAAAATTGGATACGATTGTGGTCCCAAAATATTAAATGCAATGCTATATGGTCTTCATTTAATAATAGTAACTGACATTGGGCTTTGTATGCTTTCCATTGACTTAAGATAAATAAAATGTTTAATGATAATATGGTGTTAGTCATGGGTTATGCTTCCTTGAAGCTAGTGTGGAAGAGTAGCCGGAAACCCTCAAATTTTATGGGAAAATCTTAGGTTTTCCGAGTATAAAATCTGATGTCATATTTGATTTCGGCACCCGTAAACACCTCCACACATACAACCTTTCCTGCGCCTATAAAGCCATACGCACTTTATTTGTGCTTAATTTCAGACCTTCACTCATCATAAGACGTTACAACAGTTACTCATTCACTCCCTAGTGGCCACTTTGGGAAATACAGACATCAAATGTTTGATAGTATAACTGATAACCTCGAAAACTGAAATGATATGTATTTGTGCACATGTTTATGGGCATTTGTTTCTTGCACTCTTTATTTTCTGTTCTCCTCTTCCCGTTCTGTAGATGTAAATGAATGTGAGAACACCATCCTGTGCCCCGGGGGACGCTGCGTCAATCTGCCAGGTTCACACAGGTGTGAATTCTGCGATCCTGGCTATCAGATGAGTCGCAGGAAAGAGTGTGAAGGTTGGTTTTCAGTTGTACATATACTTATGTTGAACTTCTTTCGCACCATACGCAGCCAACTGTGCTAATCGGGGTTGTGGGGGAAGAACAACAAACTAAATGTATGTTTGACATGTTCTTGGAAAACACACGAGGTTATTATTTAGACACGTCTCACACATCTATACTAATACACGATACATGTATGAGGATGACACAAGCAACATTTTCAGAGCCAGATGTTGCAATCAAACGAATCTGTCCAGTGGGTGAAAACCCATCATCACATCCAGCTCAGAACTGCACATGTCCAAGAGCGAGTGCCAGCAAGCTAGGGAATATGTCCAGTGGGCAAAACTTGGACGGTGCAGCTGGTAAGACTTTGCACATTCCTGGAAGGAGAGCCAGCAAGCATGTGAGTCTGTCTAGGGCAACATTTATCTACTCTGCTCATCGTGATGCCCACACCCCCCCCCCCCCCGTACAGCTTTCCTTAATTACCAATCATCAGAGTACCTTGGTAACCTGATTTGCCAATGCAAATAAAACAAATTATGTGGTGACACTGCGTTGGCAGTGGTTCGCAAAGCACAAGTAACTAACACAAAAACCCGTAGGACTTATGTCAATAACACTGCGACCTTAAAAGGAAAACGTATGTAGAATGGGCGACGTTTTGGGTAATTTCACGGCTTCACAGCACATGGAGAGGACAAACAGGTGGAGTGGATAAGAGAAGGAGACTGCGTACTCTTTTGTTCTTTCGGTAAAGTCACGTAGGTAGAAAACATAATAGATCACGACGTTTCGATCACAACACAAGTAATTGTCTGCAGGTGAAAAAGAGGGGGAAATCTGCGGAGGCAGGCTGTTTATAAAGGTTTAGAGATGGGAGCGGCAGCTAATGTTAAATGTAAGCTCGGCTAGGGCCAAGCTCGGCTAGGCTTGGAAATATGAGAGTCGACTAATATTGGCAGGTAGCAAGTGAACATCAAAGCAGTTAAAACTGTACCTGGTTGATCACGTCCTTCCAATGATTGCTTAATTTGGATGGTAAATACCAGCCAGACCTAAAATGAGACAGCTTTTGCATTTGTAGGAATTATCAGCAAAAGTCGCCATTAGCCATTATCTCCCACCCAAAATGACCATAAATAAATCTACCATTGAGTTGTAAATTGTGCCCATTATATGTGTATATGTGTACAAGGTATATTATGGAAAAGGATCATTGTAGTTGGTTAATCGTAATGTGGCCTGACCCAGGGAAGATGCCCGTAAAAAATATATGGATTTAGCTCTGTCCAGAGGAGCATAAGAGACACTGTTGGGAATTGGGAGTTATTGCAGGAAATTGGTTTGTCATTTAGAAAGCCAAAAGCAAAATCTAATTGAATAAATCACGGATCGGAAATGAATTGACTAGAGAATGTGATATCGTGCAATATCCGTGCACAACTACTTGACGAATATATTTGAATAGTGTGCAGTGGCATGTGCAACATGCAAACGGCATGCCGAAGACTTTTGTGACAATTTGCCAATGCCAAAGCAATTTGAAAATAGGGGGAAAACAAAAACACAGAAAAGAACATAATAACACAAGTATCTGTGTATATAAAAGAACAGATGAGCTCATCTCAGGGAACGGAGCAGGAAATGAGCTCAGAGGGAAAAGAACAAAAGTATATGTGTATATATAACAACAAATGCCCTCAACTACATCGCCCCCCTTTCCCCCCCCCCCCCCATCTCAACCTTATTGCTGCAGATATTGACGAATGTCAGGATCCCCAAGCTTGCGTTAATAAGAGGTGCGTGAACATTCCTGGGGCGTTCGAATGCGTCCCGTGCCCGAGTGGCTTCAAGGCGGCTGGAACAAAATGCGAAGGTACGCCAACTTTTGTGCAAACAGAAAGATTTATTATTTTATTTGTTTACACACTTATATATTTGTTTTCAGTGGGGGTTATTTTATTATAGTTGCTTACTTTAGTTGGCCTTTAACATTTGTTTTAAACAAACACACACAATTGGCAAAAATACATTTACGCACAAAGATAAATAGTGGCGGATTTTGTTTTGTATAAATGTATCATTGTTCCAACTTCACTGTGTTTGTGATTCGTTTGGTTAACCGAGTTAGCGAGATGCATGCTTGGCAGGGGAGCGTCGCGTTGCGATGGCTGGGGCACAGTGCTCACACTGAAGTCCAGCTTTTGTGTCCAGAAAAATTCTCCTCTAGGTAAACTTACTTTGGTGGAATTGGGAGTTCTGTTACGGCCGCAGCATCTACATCGGATATTCGATCACGTGGACACGCACCGTTGATGCGCGAGCTTGTGTATGAAAGGCGTATTGCCCAGATTAACAAAAACATCTTCCTGCTCATTCGCCGCGGCAGATGTGAACGAGTGTCTGAACAGCATGGCGGTCTGCAGGGACGGTCGCTGCATCGACCTGCAAGGGTCTTACAGGTGTTCCTGCAACCCGGGCTTCACTCCGTCCGGAAATGGAAAGCGCTGCGATGGTACGCAATTCATCCGTGCGGACACCGCACGCACGACAGACATCTGTGAAAAAGAGCTTCGGATGAGCTCATCGGACTCCTCCAGGATAAATACAAAGAAATCTGATCCTGACACGCACACACATACATACGTACGTACACACAACTCGTGCGTAATTTTTCCTTACATCAATGCTCCAGAAATATCTCCAGGTCTCGAATTTAAAATAAAAAAAACACCACAAAAGGAGCAATATAAATCTTAAGTGAAAGGGATTTTTTAATGTCACATGGTGACCCTTATAAAAATGAGTAATTTGTGTATATATATAGACTATCCCCCACCATTGTAATTAACAACCGTACTTGGATACACACAAAAGTACGAGGAAAGAGAGGAGTATTGGAAGACAGGAATTCCGGTGACGAAAGATCACCCTGGCAGAGGATTGTTTTGGCCCTATTGCCGCTAATGAGCTGATGGAAGGGACAGATTACGACGATGTCTTCTCGTGCGTGCAACACGGGATTCACGTGCACATCTACGTGTCGACGCAGACGTGGACGAGTGTGCCGAGCGCCCGTGCCAGAACGGCGAGTGCGTGAACACGCCCGGCTCGTTCAAGTGCTCCTGCCCACCCGGCTTCCAGCTCAGCGACGGCACCAACTGTCGAGGTGAAACAGCCTCCGGCACGCTCACGCGTTTCATGTTGCAAGGGGGGGGGGGGGGGGGTAAGAGGACAAATGGTGTGTCCCTGAAATTGATTGCTCACACAATCACTGCCGGCAGAAGGGCCTCCATTCGAGAGACGCACAGGTGGGCCTCTCGAGAGGCTATTTTGGCCTACTCTTCCACGCTGGGCTACACATCTTGGAATAGGTGGGAATACGCACACTTTAGCCCAGCACCACCCACCAGATTCGTGTTTGATTATTTTATGGGGAGATATTTTGAGCTTTTGATACATGTTATTAATATATACATTACAGTTGCATTTAAAAATGCACCAGCAGTGGCAGGAGCAATCAATTAGAGGGCTGCACTTTACCTCTTACCCAGGCAATGAGCAACATACAGGGGTGACAAGTGGTAGTGATTTTCCATCACTTGCTCGCCTTGTTTAGATATCGATGAGTGCAAGACGGGCAACGAGTGTGAAGGCGGCACCTGCATCAACACGGTGGGATCGTTCCAGTGTGGATGTCAGCCGGGCTTTGCAGCCCTCCCCGGCACAGACTTGTGTGCAGGTACCACTGCGGTGCCCCTGGCACATTATCTTCACCAGAATTGTGCTTGAGATTGAATCACATATTATCACGTGTCTCCCGGAATTTTTTCGTGTCATCATATCTGGAAGAATAAAAAAAAAATCTGCATTTAATGCTACATTTTTTTACATTTCCTATTCATCCCCATGTGGGTGGTAAGCCCCTTTACAACAGGATGTTGGCACGTTCATATCCGAAACGAAATGATTGTTACATGAGTGTGATGCTTTAGGACTTACACTGGTTGAATAAGCTATGTGTCAGCACCCCAGCTTTTTTGCATGCTTTACAGTCCAATTAGCATCGTGTGTGTGAGTCTGTTTTTTATTATAGCATGTCTTGATCATGTTTTTTGCCAAAATGAGCTGGTTCATTGCTTTATGGCTTTTGGGCACTGGCATTTTCACTTGCACTTCAAAGTGCATGTTGTTTGAATTGAAGATGTATAACCTCACTAAGAGCCATTTCCCAGGTTTCAGGGTCTGAATTAGCTTGGCCTTGAGGGTGTTGACAGCTATATTTGGGGCCCTGTTTACAATTTTAAATGGCATTGCTTTCATGTTGTTCAGAGTGGTTTGACAAAAAAAAACATTCCATGTTTCCCTTCTAGTATTTTTTTCTTCTTCTAAATATCAGAACAAAGCAAACTTCTCTCTCTTTGGCTGGGGCATCTGGTCCTAATTGTGGCTAATGTTCCCTATTTGGGGCTTAATTTTTCAGGGTGCTTACACGTAAAATGCATTCAACTGCTCTGTTTTCTTGATACTGATTCACATATAATTGCAGGATGTGGCTTTTTGAGATTAATAATTTTGTTCGACTGTCATAAACGTGCTAGGATTATATTTTAAACAAATTGCTAAATGCTTGTTCCTGTGTCCCATTAGGTTATTTGTTTTATATGGTTTGTGCAATCGGTTTGGGAGTGTCGGTGCCCGTTTAATAATTTAAATGTGCAGCCACTGCATTGTACTGCATTCTTTGTACATCGTGTTAGCGGAGTCTCACTTTGTTGTATTGTTAAAAAACTATTCTGATGATGCAGTATTTGTATGAATCGCTCGCGAAAATATCAAAGCTTAATTTTCAGGAGCATAAGTGCATGTTGTTTGAATTTAAGCTGCATTCTCTTACTGATAACCGTTTCCCAGGTTTCAATGTCTGAATTAGCCTGGCCATAAGGGTGTTGACAGCTACATTTGTAGGTAGCTACCTTTGGGCAGAGTATGAACGAAGACCTCTTACGGGTTCTAGGCCATTCACTTTGATTGTTATTACATGCGGGAATTGGAATGCCCGGAGAAAACACACACACGCACGCAGAATGGAAAATACTCGAGCTTCTGCACAAACGGGTCAGCAACCTGCTTCTTTTGTTACCTGTTGAGAGAACATACAGGTTGTGACTGCACTTCTAATCTTTCCAAAGTCAGATCGATATCGGCCGGTGATCGTTGATCCTCTTGAGAGCAGCCTTCCGGCCTCGTGCAGGCTGTTCGTCACACCGTGACTCTCTCCGGCTGCGTGACCCAGGGCGCATTCCTGCACACTGACTGCAAGTCCGCCCCCTCTCAGTGGAGGAAAGAGGAGGGGAAGGGCCTTCTTATACTTCGTTTTTTATTCCGTTTGTTAACACATCAAAGCGGCGGAGACTTGCCATTTCCCAAAACGGGTTCAAAAACACAGACATTGCTCCTCCGAAGACTGGAACACCAAATAAGAGGGAACAAAAACATTGTGGCAGACGTGACGCAATTCCAAGCAGAACAGCTGCGCGGGGTGAACATACGCGCCAGCGCCCACTGCTCGCTTGCACATTAATTTGCGTATTTAGTCTTCAGGATTTCATCTGCCACATTGTTTACATGCTCGCATGTAAAGCCGTGTTCATTGCTTTCTTTATTACTTTTTTTGCTTTTTAGCTGCTTCTATATGTACTAGTCATACACAACAAGTGCATTGATGTTTGGGGAAGCGGTGGTGCAATGATTAGGCCACTGCTCTCAACCCCACTAAACTAACCTGACTTGCCCAGTGTGTTGAAGTATCATCAACCGACCCTTATGACCCATACAGAATGGGGAAGCCTTCGTCCAGCTCTGGGCTAAACAGCGGCTATACATTACGATTATTATTTATGTCAGCGGTCAATCGCCTTAAGACATGAGTGGAAGGCACCTTAAAAATAAATGTAAATGATTAATATTAATGAATTGAATATGATGTGTTATTCTTTATATACATTTAACGCTTCATCTTCAAAATGTATCGTTCACATTTGCCGTATCTGGTATGTTGAGAAAGTTGAACAAATTAAGCCCTTTGCTCTGGGTATATGAGCATTAATTATATTCTTAAGCTGAGCGAGTGCATCAATAGCCAGTTGTGAGATGTGTTCATCCCGAAGTGGAGCAAGACTGCACCCACCTCTCTTTTATCCACAAGAACTCATAAACACTTCTATTCTTCCCTGCGCTGACCTCACATTTGTTCATTTTGTCCCTCAATGTTGTTGCAATTAGGAGATTTGAACTCACAGTACAGTATTTCTTTACAGTGTTACATGCAAATTTACAATATGCTTTAATTATTAGTGTAACAATGGGGTGTAACAATGCTTCCGTTTTTGTTGAGCCGTAACACATTTCATAACACTGATCGTATGGGCATTTAAACACAGCGCATTATTGTGTTCCGACTTACGAACAGTTCGATTACGAACAAATATCCGGAACAAATTAGGTTCGTAACCCGGGGACTGCCCATGTTAACTTTACGTATATTTATTTTGGTATTTTCTTACTTGTCCTCTATACTTTAAACTTCTCTAGCATTCTTTTGCATTGTTGTTGTAACTTTCTGACCCGCCCTCCCTTACTGGAGATCCGAGAAAAAAAACAAGCTTCTCCAGGATAAATCATGATTCTGATTCTGGTGTTGCTCAGCAGATGTGGACGAGTGTGAGAATGCGAGCGCGTGCAGCGAGCACCAGTACTGCATTAACGCGATGGGGTCGTTCCAGTGCCACTGCGACCAAGGATACCAGACCGCGAAGGAGGGACTTGGCTGTGTGGGTACGTAGGCCACACAAGACGCCAAGAAGGCACGCGTCACCCACAGCTGCCTCTGTCACAAATGCGCTTTGATGATCGGTGCTCCATGGTGCTTTTGCGCGCAGTTATTCGTTATTAAAGTTGAGTTAATGGACTACCCATACCCAGTGCGGTGTGTGTGCATGAAGTAACTGTCATATCCGACCTTTTCACATATCCACCTGTAAGTCAGTGCCCACTGAGTCTGGTATGCGATATTGTACAGTTTTAGAAATACGAATTCTAAAAATGATTCACACTGCCAACCACCTTACCCTGTTTAAGTCGAGGCTCAAGACCTTCCTTATTTATTTTGCTCAGTGCTAATGGTCTTTTCCAAATAAAACGTCTTCAGTCGTACCTTATCTCATTCTCTTTATGTTTATGCGTCTAACTTGTACAACAATAAAGCATCTGTGCAGTCCTTTGTCAAGCCACTCCACTGCTCGCTAGATTGAGGCCTTCCCATACCGTCTTGGAGTCACGGTGTATGCTTTACCCTGACTCCACCACGCTGGTCAGTGCGGGTTGGCGATGGCAGAGGCCCAGGTCTGGTTCAGATATGGCTCACCGCTGATGTTAGCCATGGCCAGACGTTTAATTTCGGTAGCTAGGTTCACAGCATAGTGAGAAAACTACTGTGCTGCAGCTCCACCAAAACGTAGTTGTATCACCATGACATTCTACTGTGTAAACCATCATCACATCTCATCCACAGAGGCAATGCACAGATGAGAGCTTAGCCTGACTAGGTTCTGTTTTATCTAAAACTCACCGCAACTTTGTCCTGTCAACTGAAATACCAATTGATGAGCAGACAATATGTCCCTCTCATGAATCTGTTTCTCGATGTACAACATTAAAGTTAACTTTTCACAACCCATCAGCTCGCAATGATGCGAATTCTTACTTTGCATTCGTAGATCAATGATGTCAACAGAACAGGAACTTAATGTGGACTCACACCTCTCCACCCAACCAAGTCACCTACCCCTGCCTTCTTCCCAGCGAACCCTATCCTACCCCGTAATTGTTTACTATATGGGGGAAAAAAGTTGGAAAGGAATTTCATTTATTTGATGAACGCAGATGATTAAACAGAAAGCACACCTGGGCAGGTTTCTCCAGTACATTTTTTTTATTATCACCGAACTACAAACGAATCCTTCAACGAGATAAACTCATCCCGACAATGACGCTTCCCCCGTCCTCTCGTGGCAGATATCAACGAGTGTGAGACGATCACCGAAGTGTGCGGCTCGGAATTGTGCGACAACGAGGAGGGCACCTTCCTGTGCATCTGCCCGTACGACTATCAGGAGTTCGACTCGCAGCTCGGCAAGTGTGTGCCGGAGCCCACTGGTGAGAAGCAACCTTCTTTCCCACGAACAGCGTCCGGCACAAGCCGCACAGCCCATGGCACGGCTTCTCAATTGCATACGGGCTCTTGTCACAGTCGTAAGATCCTGATCGATCTACTAGGCGCTCATTGGCTTAACCCAACTCAATGAGATAGCACCACAATACTCGCAGGAAGTGAGATCGATTTTTACACTCCAGCAAGGTCCCTGAGAACTTCAGATCGCCTTCTTGTCAGCACTCCAAGGTCAAGGCTAATTTCCTGGGGTGATCGGGCTCTTACCAGAGCAGCTCCCCCCAAGCTTTGGAGCGATGCTTGGCCTTTGCTAATGAGACAATCGGAGTCGTTGGAGTTATTGAAGTCTGTCTTGAAAACTCACCTCTTTAAACTGGCCTTTACCCCCCACTAGTTCTGGCCGTTGACCCCGCAGGCTCTGTTTAATTCCTGCTTTCCATACATGGTGGCGCATTGGGATCCACGGATGAAATTCGCCTCACAATGTAAATTATTGTTCTTATTACGTCCTTAATTTTCACAGGACAGCCTCACTGTGTCTCTAGACTTTTATTAAACAGAGTTTCATGTGGGAGGAAACCAGTGTAAGCGAAGTAAAACTGTCGCTTACGAGGGTGAACACTTAACAAAGTCATCTCCACCTTAGAGCCCCACGCCTACAACACCTGGGAGTTCTTGTGGTGCTAAATGTTGAGAATTGATTGCGTGGCAACTGCCAATTCTGTCACATGTGCATTGCATGTTTATCCTCAGCTGTCTACGGGATCCCCTCCACTCCTCAACCACAACCTCTGCAGGCTGGAATCCACAACTTCCCAGGATACTCAAGATACCCAGGTAGATCTTCTTTCGTATGGCTGTTGTAGATGCAGAGCCCCAACTACAAGTTCACGCTGAGGTGGTAAAGCCAGACAACCGCGTCGGTATCGCCGTAACGTCGCCTTCGCATTTGTGAATCGGGCAGTGCATCGTTATATGTCGTATGCTCTGTTCTGGATGACCACAGTCGCACATTGGAGAGTTTTTCATTTTCCACGTGTGCATCAAGTATTCGCATCTGTCATGGTTTGTGCGAATGCGGTGATTTGCTGTTAGGTGAGGAAAAGGGATATTAAAAGCAACGCTCTTTATTTATCCAGCAGAGCCTCACTGAGTCCCAAGACTCTTTCACGAGTGCCCTGCACTTGCACGTTTTGCCAATTCTAGATTTTCCAATACCATTAATTAATTCCAGTGTTTTGCAAGTGAGAGGAAACAGGAGGACTTGGCAAAAACTTGCCCGTACAAGGGAAAACACACGCAGAGCTCCACACAGATGGATGAAAGAATCGAAATATCTGTACCATTTGTTGTGGCTACCTCACAAGCCCAGCAGATTCGAGAGTTGTGTGTGATCTGCGAACCCTTGCTGCTTGCAAAGTGCTGGATCACGGGCGTGCACAGCCAACGTGCCTGGCTGCGTGAAAATTATCTCGCTGCATTCGTTCACACTTACATGGCAAATGTTAGTCACTGTGAACATTATAAGGGCATAGTTTAAATTATGTTGCTCAATGTAAAACCTTGGCCTTGTTTCACTCCCAGAATTTGTGGACTCATCAGAGCACTATCCACAGCATCCATATGGACAAGAGCCCAGACTGCGTGGTAAATACTCAAACCACATACCTTAATCTGCAGAACACCTGTAATCTGATGATACCTAAGCCCAAATGTAAATTGTGATAGACATCACGTGTCCTACACAGATGATACATATGTAATAAAAGGACTCGGATGCTTCTCTCTGACTCCGTGTCCTTTATTTGGGGTTCGCGTTCTCCTTCCCACACGGCACTCCTCCTGAGACTCTCTCCCTGGCAGCCCCACATCTGCCTTCGCTCCCGTAGCCTTCCACGCTCCTGCAGCTCCGCTGCAGGCTCTTGGTGCAGCCCTCCGGCTGCCCCCACAGCAGCTCCATCGCTGCTCCCTGTTCCTCCGTGCGTGGCGATCTCGCCACCTCCCAACGTCAGCCCTTCGTGGCCTCTATGGCTATCTCGCCATTTCCTACCTCAGCCCTTCGTGGCCTCTGTGGCTATCTCGCCACTTCCTACCTCAGCCCCTCGTGGCCTCTGTGGCTATCTCGCCATCTCCAACCTCAATCCTCCACTCTCTCTTCCACCCCGCTGGCTGGCGCCGTCATGAGCCCCTCAGCCACCAGGCTGAGGCACGGCGACCACCCAACGTGTTCACCACCCTTCACTCCCCCGACTGACCCAGATAGCTTCCTGTCTCCCCGCTATAACTTCTCCCCCACGTCACCCTGACTCCTCCCTCTCGGATCGTCATATCCGCCCCGCCCATTTACGCCCGCATTACACATAGATACCACAGACTGAAGTTACAATTTGCACAGCAGTCTAATGATAGTACTTGCTATTGAGCGAGATTTTAAAGGAGGTGATGGATCTGACCTCTCTGGCAATGTAATGAATTGTCATAATTCGAGGTTGCTATTTAGTTCAAGAATATACATTTTTTGTCTTGTTTTTACGGCCTTTTTTATTTCTTTATATTTATTTCTGCCTCATTTTCAGTTGTATTTTCTCTTTCAGCTTAAATGAATAGGATTTTCGTCTGCATATACTTTTCATGTATCAAACATTATTAATTCTCTCTTGCACAGCTCAATACATGCAAAGCATAGGAATACATGTAAATCAATGAATTTCTACATCATTTCATGCCAAATGAATACAATTATGTATTAGTTCCAAGTAAAAACACATTATGCAAAAATAATAGCAAGCATTACTTTAGGGCTTTCTATTGTCATTGAATAGAATGATTATTTTGGTTGATCTATTTAATTTATTTGAGCAAAATGGCTCGTTCCCATATTTGTTTCTCTACAACCCATCGGCCTTCAGGGGACTGCATCCTATCAGCAAAACTGGTTCAGTAGAAGCAGAACTGTGGACCATGAATAAAAATGACATTTCCACATGATAAGCCATTTCGTTCAGCTATCCTTTGTGTCCGTGTCACTTCAGAAAAAGACCTAGACAGCTCAGTGGGCCTTACCTGGTTTAAAAAAAAAGTTTGAATGTAGTTTTAAAATGCGTCGTGTGATGCTTGCTTCGCGATTATTTTGGGTTGAAGTGGAGGTGAACCATCATCATCATCATCGTCGTCGCATGCTTCCCCATTGTCCCGGCAGAGCCGGTGGGCGTGCCTGCAGCCCACGTACCGGCCGAGAGACGCGAGTGCTACTTCAACCTCAATGACGAGAACGTCTGCCGGAACGTCCTGGGGCGCAACGTGACGCGCGACGAGTGCTGCTGCACCGTCGGCGCCGGCTGGGGCACCGACTGCGAGCCCGCGCCCTGCCCGCTGGAAGGGACCGGTAAGGATTAGGGCACAGGCACGAGCCTGCACCTGCCCTGGTTTTTACCAGGATCCATAGAGTTAGACACGGTGGCAAGATGATGTTAACTATCTCGCCTGGTATACAGGAGGTCGTGTGTTCGATCCCATTCCTGGCACCTGTATATTTGGACTGTGCATGTTCTCTCCATGGTCGTGCAGATTGTTTTCGGGGTCTTACGGTTTTTCCCTCCACGTTTAGAAACATGCGTTCAGAGTATTTGGCTGATATAAATTTCCACATTGTGCTATCTTTGCGGCCAGGTCACTTCCAAAAACGAGTTGTATAGCTCAGTGGGCCTTACCTGGTAAAATAAAAAATCATTTAGCTTTTAGGCATCCGTGGTGAAGGTGTCATCGTTCCTCACCCCCTCCCGTCTCCCCCACCTCATGCCACCCCCAAGATAGATACATCACCACCACCACCCCTTCCAGAAAGTGGAACCACCGGCCGCCAATGCTTGCTTCGTTTCCATCACTTGGGCTGCCGCGTTCTGCAGGCGCCCCCTGTGGGCGGGGGGCTCGGGGCAGACGCCCCCCTCCGCCCCCACCCCCACCCGCTGCCAGGGCAATGGATCACTGGTTCTCTTCCTGAGGCAGCTGTCCCGAGACATCCGTTATTCCTCCATGGACACTGAAAGTCCACGCTGTTTGTCAGTTGTGTGACATTACACCACTCGGGACTATTCGCATGTGTTCGTAGTTCTCCCGGAACTGTGAGATATTCTTACCACGATAATGTCCTGGTCATTTTGTACCTCAGAGGTGGCAACCCTGTGTTTACCCCTTACAACAACAAAGAGAAATTGCCAAAACGTAATCAAAGGACGAGGCTTCATCGAGCAGTGGATTGATTAAAGGGCCGTAAAAAGCAAAGAAGGCAATCCCAGTGACAAGCGCGCTAATGTTGTTGATACGCACCTGGGCTACGTGCCACGGGCTATCTGACCCGAGTTTGAAGCTTTGTTCATGAGAATATTAATTTATTTAAATCTACAGCCAGGTACCTCATTATTGTGTTTAGTTGTATCACTTCTACGGCACTCAGGCCTTGCAATACACGAGTGCAGTGGCGTCCCTAGAGAGCTATCATTCAGCACCTGAACGTATTCAACTGAATTTGGACTTCCTCGGACACAGCTTAGGTACGTATATACAAAGTAAGAACTAATTTACGTGTGGTGTTGTGTTTTTCTTTAAGCCACAATCATGTTCCCTTAAAATCCTGCCTCGTAACGAATTGATCCCATTGAAAACCGCTGTCATATATCGGATGGAGCTTCCAGGAAATGTCTGAGTGCGGTCCCGGTTCTGTTTAACAGCATCTGGTGTAAAGCTGTAGCCCCGACTGATTATTCCGTCTTCAGATACACTGGTCGCTTCCTCTCCAGTCTGTTGCCCCTTTCTTTCTCTTCTATTGCGAGTATAATTGTCACTTCTCTAAAGAACTCTGAGAAGACTGTCTAGGTCGACTGTAAACTTCTGCACTGTGTGCGTTTGTCTCAATATGGGACAAGCATCAATCTTTCCTCTTTCCTGTCACAGATGAACTCTGAAACTCACGAAAGCGTCTCCCTGTACTGGTTAACTCTGATGACTGAAGTATCACGTCAACTGCCACCTACACTCCTGGCGCTGCTTATCGTGAAGAACGGCTGATTTGTGTTTATAGGTCTAGGGCCTCTGCATATCAAATGTAACAATGCAAAAGGAATTAGCCACTGTTGAGAAGCATTAACCCATTTGAAACATATTGGTCTATTTAAAACAAAGCTGCCTATCTTGTTGCTTTTGACATACCTATCCACACGGCTGGATTAAGACTGTTTTCAAGATGGGTAGCAGCAGGGAGCGACCATGTAGGATTTTGAAGCATTTCTTTCTGTAAGATCCCTTCTTCCGCAATTTGTTATGCTGACATAGCATCGCCTCCAGATCCCTACACAATTCTGTTTTCGCTTTCTCAGAAAATTCTAAGGAAGAATAAAAAAAAACCATTCGCACTTTTTACAAAAGGATTATGGGTTTTTTTGCTATAAAAGTTTACGCGCCCCCTTTCTCAGTTTACAGGGAGCACAGATTAAGAGCACATGGGTGGCTCACAGCAATGAGCAGGACCTCAGAATTACAGCCACGATCAAGTTTGGCGCTCAGACATTCTGTGGCTCGGTAAAGAAAGCACAGTAATGTTTGATATAAATGACCCAGAGAGATACTTGCTCTGGAATGCAATTACACCACCTCGGTTGAAATATTTGCATTATAATGTACAGAGGCATTGCAAATCCACTGCTGGATGAAGACCATCTAACGTTGCGTGTTTGACTGTGGGAGTTGTTTCACCATCACCCAGCACCTAGCCACGCTGGCTCAGTGCGGGTTGGTGAAGGGGTGGCCCCAACTGTGGTTGGATGTCGCAACTCGGGTAGCTGATTTCATGGCGCAGTGTGTTAGCCACTGTGCTACCACGCCCCCCCCCCCCCCATCGGGATTGAGTATATTGAATGTGACTGTTTGAAGCATTTGACTTCTAATATTGAATGCATTGCTTTAGTCACTGGACTATCTCACCGGTAGAGTGGCTTTTGAGCTTATTTGGAATAAAGCGCATGCTGTACTGAGGAACATACAAACCTGTGCTTGTAAAATAAATAGAGGTTAAATGTTTGAAAAATGTATGGCCTCTTCAATAAACACCAGCTCGAATGTACAGGATAAATTAAGTCTGTTTGGTGGAAGAATATACACCCAGAAATTACAGCACGGGGAGCCGTGTCAGAGCACTGCGCAGCGGAATCTCGCGTTCACATCACTGCCGTTGACAGCCGGCCAGCCAAGCGATCTGTGAGTTTTGTACTTTCCAGAGAGTTTATTTCCAAGCTGATCTGACTTGCCGCAGTGGTACATGTAAACCCTCGACGTTGAAAAGAAAATTGCCCTCATCTCTTCCTAACAAGTAGCTTGCCCGGACGCTGCCGGGATTTTCTGGCATTACGTTGTCTGTGGTTTTGAACTGGAAAGAAATAGTTTTTATTATTATATATTTCTTATTTTACTCTCGCTGCAGCCAACTGCCAGCTGTTACAACTACCAGCTGCCCTTGCTTTAGATACGTAACATCAAGGCGCCCATTGTTAATGGGCAGTTACCCTCGTAATGACAGTGTGTGTTCCACATCGTTGCAAGCCCATATGGCTTTGCGTTGTTTGTTGTTGAATCTTGCAGGGGAGTTTAACGAACTTTGCCCAGAAGGAAGAGGACTCGTCCCAAGCCCCAACGGGAGAGGATATCGAGGTTGGTATTGAGTTTGATTTTGAAATGTTGTGCAATGTGGACTGGCATCATCATACTCACTATCACCACCACCACCACCATTTATCACCTTAAACCTCATCAGCACCCAACATTTAGAGGTGGTTATTGCACCTTTGTCATTTCAGTCAGCAATTCGCTCGCGTCGCCTGTACCTCATCGCGAGGCCTATGATTCGGTAACTTTTCATAATTAGGCATCACAATTCAAGAACGGATTTTTTAAATGTAACCCATTACGTGCAACAAATTAATCCCAGAGTGATCCATTCTTTCGCGCACAATTCCATGCATTTATTGTGGTCGTAACATATCAATCGATGGATCGTTGCTTGCCTACTTGTTAACATCTTTATGATCACATTGCCGCTCTATTAACTGAAGGGAAACGTACAGGAGTCTCAATATTCTTGCTAGGGGGCTCCCACGTGGGCAGTTTGGCAAAAATCCGTATTGAATGCCTCTGGCCTGCTGTCATCATGGGCATCATTGTCATTGAGCATATCTTCATTGACAGACACCTACCACCAGGCATCAATTGAAGCCCATCAATCTAAGATCTGTCATCATTGTCATACACCTGACTCCACTGTCAAACGGTGGAATGCTGTGTTTACATTTTGGCTTGGAAATATGCCTTTGTACTTCTAACTTCTAAGGGGAGGAATGTGCTCAAATTGGCCAGCACTGCCTGCCGTGTTGAGCTGATATGGCACACGCAGTTATGAGTTTGTGGGAAGCATCAAAAAGATGAATGCGCAAAGTGTATCGAAAAGAATAAACTTTGCCAGGCCTGTATAAAAAAACATCCCTTTGAAGATGAACCATGTTGTACTCGAGTTACAATTCATTTCAAAAGATCATCCTTACTGTTTGTCTTTTAGTGATGAAAAATGTTCGTCATAGGTACAGTGCTTTATTGACAGAGCAGATAAAAGCAGCATTATGATGTATGTTTTGTTGTTAATCAAAAACAATGCGAGAAACACTCACACGAATTCGCTGTCATTTTAATTGTGCCAAATTCTACATTGTCTTCATGCATTATATTATCGTATTGTCAAGATGATAAGAGAGACTGTCCCCCTCCCCAGTATTATAAATCAAACGATGGGGGATTTCCTCTTATGATCTAATATGTCTGTGTGTGTCACAAGAATTGTATAACTTTATTGACACTTCACACGTTTGTGGTGCATTTTTCACTATTGTGCTTCTGTGACATCATCCATTATGGCTTGTCCTCTCTTTGACAACTTAATTAATTTCCCTTTTTCGTGAAACGCTACGAACGGCACAGGTGTGTCTGTGCAAAGTACACGTAACGGTGGTGTCCTGGACCCAACTTCTTGAACTTCTTGTCAGTTCGCCTCCGAGCGATGGCTCATTTGGCCTTCCGAGCACGGGTTGTTTTCTTTGCAACCTAAGAACTCAATATTTAGCAGTGGTCGTACTTGGGGCAACCGAAGGTTAGGGTCCTGCATGCAGGCTTCCTTTAGCTTTGGTGCAACTAAAATAGATACTGTACTCTCCATTCCCTTTGGCCCCGCAAACCGCAGGCTAATTGCCGAGAAATGGAAAAGAAAAATATTTTGGGTTGAGGTTACTGACCACGGTAATGCACGCACATGTCTCGTGAGCGCGTGCGCTCACACACAGATGCACAGAATGCACTCTGTAAGAAAGTGCAATATTGTAGTCATTTTACAAGTTGCTTTGCTTGTTTGATGTATGTTCTTTGACTGCTTAGGTGTGGTCAAAAACCAGCAACACCAAAATATCCATCAAACGAGAATAAGATGTTGTCTTCAGATGATATGGTCTGGGAGCTGTTGAAAGGGCTTACCTGCATCAAGTAAAAGCTTGGCCTTCTCTGGTGAATCTGTAAGCCAGCAATAAACAAACCATGCAAAAGTCCGTTACAAACTGAAGGTTGGCCAGATCGAAGCCACATTATGCCGCTGAAACTTATTTTAGTTTACGCAAATGCCCAGCGCATTAAAGCATTGTAGCACGTACGATATACAGCAAATGATCTGATGCATGAGTGGAGCACTATCCACAATGTGCCATACGTACAGACGCATCACTGGTCACAATCATTATCTGAAACAATGTCGTATCTTGTTTGTCAAGAGAGATGAACGCTGGTCCACTGTCGTGAGAGAAAGACGATGCTTGGAACTTGGCTTGTCTGATGTATACTTACTGCACTATGCATGATGCAAGTGGCTCACAACAGCAGGCAGGAGCTGGTTGGCTGCCTCACATACGATGGAGAACTTTTAGATTACAACTCAACTTTCTTCGTGAGAAAGCTTGATCCGGTTCGAGTGGCCTCAATTTGTAACACAACCTGAGCCAATCAGAAAGAAGTAAGGGCAGCAGGAACTGATGCAATCTCCAGAATTTGCTAAATCTCCATAACTTGTACCCACATTTAAAGTCCCCAAAAAAACAAACAAAACTAAATTATGATTAAACAAAGGGGGGTATGGATTGTTTGGCGAAAGATTATGGATGATTATTGGGGGAAATAACCCAAAGTAAAACGTTTTTGTTCTCATTTAAATCACAATTTCTTATTGTTTTAAACTTGAAACTTAAAGGCAATAATCGTTTGTGAACTGTTTCAAATAGCTAAATTAAACAGAATTATGTGAAGGAATGGACATAGCAATTGATCTGATAACACCGTATGTGGGGTTTTTTTTTTGCCAACAGATGCCGATGAGTGCACACTCTTTAGCCAGGAGTTGTGCCGAGACAGCCTCTGTGTGAACACGCAGGCTGACTACGAGTGCTACTGCCGCACCGGGTACTTGTACGACCGGCGCAGGCTGCACTGCGTGGGTGAGTCACATCACCAGCCGATGTCGCGCAACTGTGCTTTTATTTCTCATTATACACTGCCTCCCCCTCCGTGTGTTCAAGGTCTCCTCACAATCAATGATATTGTCGGCTCTCATGTTTTAGACACTGGGAGTTGAAAGATGGTTTGTGGTCTGAGCAGTAATGAATGCACACGTACCTATCCTAAATAGAACCCCGATCAGAGCACTGTTGAATGCCAGCAGACAATGGGCAAACGTGATTCAACGTGTGCTTTCATGGGTAAATGGCATTAGTATTTAATGTACACGCAGATATTAGCACAGTGAGTCGTGCATTGAGCTATGAATCCAGTGACCTTAGTTTGGGAAGGCCTTGATCCAACCGTGGATTGACAAAGGCCTGCAAATTACGTATGAGCCCAGTTAAGATTAATAAAGGCCTGTGAATTAATTACTTACTATTGATGAAGAGCTGTAATTATTATTATGATCATTATGCGTACTCTAGACAGTGTACTCTACATTGTAAACAGAGATATGTGCCCTTGGCCCTCTGGAAAAGTCATACACTAAAAAAAGGAAGCTTAAGAAAATTTGAAAAATGCCCAAAGGTTATTTAAGAAGCGTTGCAATTATAGAAGGGTTAACAAGATCACGTTGGTGGTCATGGAAATGTTCTACTTCAGTGCCCCCTTGGTGTGTGTGTCCATTTTTACAAGTCGGTTCTGGCCCATCTGGTGTGTACTTATCCCCTCCCCCCCCCCCCCAGACTTTGCCCTGGCTGTTGAGTGCGCTGTTAATTTGGAAAAAGAAATTCACCTAAATGTTAGGGCGTGTGGAATTTAACCCAAAAGTGGCCCAGCCACTGATTTATTCAATGACGGCTGTGTTCATCTGTGGCTGCCATTGGCCATGATACGCGATACTGACTATTGTATTCGTGAATATGCGTGCCTAACAAAAAAATTCGATTGCAGAATGCAAGGAATTGTAAGCACAATTAAGGGCCAATTAAAGACAAATTAAAGCCATGTGGATGAAAGCTTTCTCATATCTGTGGATATTGCTGTATAGTCATAAAATACCCTGTGGGATTTTTGCATGAAAATGTTCAACATTTTAAATCATTATCAGCCATGCGAAAGAAGTTCAACATCTATGCTCAATCCACTGCAGGATGGCTTTTCCAAGCCTCTGCCACATCTCACGATCCTAATAATCCACCTCGTATCGGATTTCATAACTCCTTCTCTTTGGTTGGCGTCCTCTCTGGCACGTTCCAATACCCTGGCTGCCGCTCCATTATTGTTCTTGACCATCAGCCACGATCCCATGCAGCGAAGTGTCTGCCAATGGTCAGGAAAAAACATATTAAAATATGATTGCTTTAATTTGTGTGTTGATTTGGCTTTTCAGCAATTCGAGATTCAATTTAGTTTTCCCCTTACACGATATAATCATTCAAGCATGGTAAGTCGGAGTGTGCATGCGAGTGTTTTGTAATTAGTTTACACAACCCATGCGGTCACTCGAGGTGCTGCATTGCACCATGATGTAAACAAGAAAAGGAATTGACTTTTTTATCGGATTTATGAAAATCATTGAGATGACGAAGGGGATGGGAAATCGCTGTGGACCCATTACAAGATGCAACCCTGTAATTGCTTGCTCACACGATTGCTGCCAGAAAGGCCTCCAATGTGTAGAGCTCTGAAGAGCCCCGCTGGGGAGTATCAAGAGGGGTGCATCATTACAGGCCGAGTGGTACGATTCCCTTTGTCTGTTTGTAGATTATGTAAAAAAAAATTACGTGGACAAAAAATGCAGATAAAAATTCACTACCAGTCATATTGTAGACACAAAAACACGAAACATCTTGGTCAGCTTCAGTTTTGGAGCATCTTATTATCCTTCAGGGTGGAGCGGTGGCACAGTGGTTAGCACACTGCGCTGTGAACTCGGTGACAAGAGTTTACTTTCTGGCCACGACTAATACGAGTGGCGAGTGATATCTGAACTGGAAGCTCCCCCCTCCCACCACTTCACCAATGTGAACTGACCAGTTTGGTGAAGTTTGGTCAAACAACCCCCACGTGGATTGACAAAGGGCTGTACGTTATAATTTGTTAATTATTGACCGGCACCCATGAGAGAATGATTTAATGCAATGTCTCTTGGACAAAGTGTTTATATATGAGAAATGAGGACATTTGCGTGGTGATCCACGTCATATGCCACTTGCGTTCGTCATCGGCAATTTTCACAGAACAGCTGTCAACACCCAAACTGCAATCGAAGGGACACGTGTGGCAACCTCGAGGTAGAATCCCAGTGTTAACAACAGTAAATTCACGTTTAAAATCTTGTGGATATGTGTGCGTGCACACTGTGAACCCGGTGACCCGAGTTTGATTCCCGTTCATGGCCAGCACCAGTGACGGTTATCTGAACCGGCCAAGGGCCTGCCCTAGGTCGGCGCAGCCTGAAATTAATACCTAGTGCAGTGTGTAAACATCGCCACTGGGGAGACAAAGGCGGTCGGGCGTGGTGCTGGCCCCCCACACCCTCGTGTGCTGTGCCGGCCTTCATAGGTGCTCGCTAACAACACTTGCCCCAACAGTCTGTTGAGGCTGTACGGGAGATCTTTGTCTTCGGTTGACACCTTAGGAGTGCATCTGGGTATGTCCCGTGACCTGCCAGAAAGCCTTGACACTTCACGTGGCCTCAAATTATTACAATAATTAATTATAAATGAACAAGCACTGCATTGACGTCACCGCCACTTTGTGACGCACAGCAGCAGCAGCAGCTGTTGTTGTTGTTGTTGGTTGACAGCTTTACTTCTCTGAGTTCCCCACTTCATGTGTCAAGAAAAGTCCTTGTGGGTGTGTTCAACACAGGCCGACAAGGATTAACAGTGTCCAACCATCTGACCAATCTAATTCTGGATCGTCGGCTGCAGGATTTAAAGATTACTTTGGGAGGGCATCGCATTTGATTTGCCACTGTTTGTTATTCACCATTCCCCTTGGCGAGAGGTGCTCCATTATGAAGTCTGTAGCCATACGCATCTTGTTTGTCAGACGTTGAACAGGGTAGTTGCTCACTTGCAGTAATTGGTCCCAAGGAAGTGTGCCTGCACGCCTGCTTTATTTCACTGGTCGGTTGGCATCCACAGCTCAATAAACGGCCTCTCATGAAGAAGCCCCTCTACCCTGTTGGAAAGAAAGTGACCGTGGCCCTCGTGCTTATTTATACTCACACACGCGCATCGTCTGATTTATTTCGATGAAGGTGCTCTGTGTTTAAACTCTCAAATTCAATGCAATCTTTCTTTACTGGCGTGAGGTTATGCGTTTTTTATCGCATGTCACATTATACAATAGAAATTCGTGATAATAATAAATTCTAGAGAGCTAAACAATAACATTCAGGCTTTCATCTAAGCATCATACATTTGCTTATCTCATGAAGATGTTATAAGGGGCCACCCTGTGCTTGATCTCCTGTAAGCACTTAATTATTTTAGCAGAAGTTACCATCAAAGGCTGGCTTAGAATGCCGCTTCATAGGATCCAGGAGGAGATTGTGATCGTGTAACAGATTGGAGGAGCATGCAGCATTGGTTGGCAAAGTCTATAGCAGTTTAAGACCAACAGCATCACATTCTCCCTGAGGCTCAATAGAGGCCATGCGTTCCCACTACACAGCAGGGAGCGGTGGTGCAGTGGTGAGTACATTCCGCTGTTAAACCGGTGACCTGAGTTCAATTCCTGGTCCTTGCCCTTCCCTAATTTGTACTGGTCTACATGGTGAAATAAAAGTCAAATAAACTAGACTATTTTTATTTGACCAGGTTAGGCCATCTGAATTTCATTTTTAAAAAATCAAAAGCGCCCTGGCTGCAAATGATAGCTCGATGAAGTGGCTCATCACGTGGGAGGGAGAAGCCGGAGGACCCCGAGAAAAATCCACACGACCACGCGGAGAACTTGCAGACTCCAAACACACAGCAGGCGGCAGGGTCAGAATGGAACGCACGACCTCCTGCATGCCAGGCCAAGTAGTTAAAATCTCGCCACCGTGGAAACCAAATGCTCCCATGACCCCACAAAGTGAGGAGGCCTGAATCCAATGAGTGAATTGCCTGTTGCTAAAATTTTATTTAACTAATTTTAGTAATTTGTATAAGGTCCGATAGGTGCTAGGTAAAGTCTCTACCAGATGTTGATAGAGAGTGAGTATTTAGTGTACACTGTTTACCTAAATGTTTGATGTTGGGAAGCCATCTTCCAGTAGTGGCTTGGCAAAGGGCTATACATGAATTATTATTATTCAATTTAAGAAACATAAGAATAGGCACTTCACAATGTACCACCCCCGCTGGGAGTGACTCATCCTCTTTCCAGACTTGAATCAAGTTTTGATGGATTTTTGTCTCGTTTTGGCTTTCTCATTTTTATTGTTTCTTGTATCCATATATGTTGAACTTTCACACTGTACGTAGACAACCATCCGAATGGAGGTGCGGTGGAAGGACAACAAACAAATCACAAAAAGTAGTAGTTGTTGCTGCGCGTATTCTCAAGAATTATTTCTCGTTTGTACCGCTGCAAACTAATTAAGTCTGGATTCATGAACATGAATATTTATTATGCATTAAGTTCTTTCAGAAATCTGTCACTGAATACTCAGCCTGTACCAATCTTTATGCTTAGAAGAGCTGGGATTTGTAGCCATATTAACCTTGTGATCCATAAATTATAATATTTATGAAAAAAACAATATTATTTTGAGTGTTATGAGTCAAAAGCAGCAACTCTCCCTCCTCCCCAAAAGCAGCCATATAAATAATGCCATAAATGTGTCGCAAAAAATAAATAAATAAAAACATCTATGATTTATATTGGTCACGAAAGCCTACGCGTTAAACTAGATAATACCAGTCTCCCGCAGTGGAGATGATGCACGAGGGGGGCACAAATGTTGTGAACACACTGGCGGTTTTTAACGAGAGCCCATCGCCATCTGTGCCTCAGACGTGGACGAGTGTGAGAACAGCCAGAGCTGTGTGGACGGGCAGTGCTACAACAGCGAGGGCAGCTACAGCTGCTACTGCAGCGCACCGCTCACGCTCGACCACACTGGCCGGCGCTGCGTCAACCGCACGGCTTCCTCCTCGGGTGACGATCTCCTTTCTCGTCGTCAAGTTCATTGTTGCCATCGCAGTCGTCGTCGTCACCATCATCGGCATTAGCAGCGTCATCATCAGCAGGAGCAGCATCATGATTAGCAGCTCGTGCAGTAGCATCATCAGTAGCATCGTCATCATCATCAGCAGCAACAACAGCAGTAGTAACAGCATCTGCATTGATATAATAGTCTTCATCAACGTCAATGTTGTCATCATAATTGTCTCATCATTATCATGACCATTGTCATCAACAACATCAGCATCAACAGCAGCAGCAACATTTGCATATTTCTTATATGATCATTGCCCTTCTCCGGATTACATTCAAACTTGCTGAGTGCAAGCGAGCGAATGAGATTCACGGCTCTTTGGTGTGTGTTTTATATCCGCTCTCATGTCGATGTCCCATTCGCCTGTCAACTCGTTGCTGCTCCGATGATATCTCTCCGTGCAGATGTCTTTTTGGACATCTGCTGGAAGGAGGTGTCCCAGGGAGTGATGTGCAGCAAGCCCGTCGCGGGCCGCCAGACCACCTACACCGAGTGCTGCTGCCTCTACGGCGAGGCCTGGGGGCCCGAATGTGCCTTCTGCCCACCCAAAACGTCCGGTGAGCCTCACAACTATTCACTCGTTCCACATCAGCTCAGAGTGTGTTGCTTCCGTTATTTTTCGCACTCATTACACACAGAGTTCTTACAACAAACGAACCACCGATTCCTTGCTGGTCTCGTCGAGGAACATAAACCATCGCGCAAGCCTCTGCTCAAGGAACGCTTTGTATGTATGTATGTTGAATCTTGACTGCAGGAATTCATATTCTTTGGGTCTTTCGGTAAAGTCACGTAGATAGAAGAAAAAATAATAACAATAATATAATAAAAATGAAAATAAAGTGATTAAAAAAGATTATTTACAAAATTATATTATTTTTTATTCACTTTATTGAAAATTGTATTTTCATTATTTATTGTAATTATTTTTTCTATCTACTTTACTTTACTGAAAGACCCAAAGCATTTGTACGTTGAACTTCTTTCGCCCCATACGTAGCCGACCGTGCTAATCAGAGGTGCGGGGGCAGGACAACAAGCTAAACACTAAAAACCGTTCTCAAGAAATTAAATTTCAATCGAGATGATTTAAAAGTGCATAGTTTCAGTGGCTTTTTAATATCGGAAGGAAGAGCGTTCCAGACGGCCGCAGAAGCTCATCTGAATCCACACGATGCAGTGATCGTCTTTGTTCGATGGCCAGCCAAAAGCCGCTGCTGTTGCTGCGAGGATGAGCGGAGTTCGCGTGATGGTTCATTGCTTCTGTTCGGTCAGAGTAGATAGCTTCCGTTAATTTTTGCAATCATTACACACAAAGTACTTGCAACAAATGAAACACAATATCTTTCTGATCTCGTCAAGGAGCGTAAACCATCGCGCAAACCATTTTGAGGTGGAGATGCATAACGGGCAATTTGATTTATTTATTTACATTCACAAGTGGTTTAGCTGAGCATGGAAGTTTCCTCTTGATAGCAAGAAGCCTGCATAGCAGTCTACTTTGCAAGAATAGCTGGCCCTAAGTTCACTTTGGAAGAACAAATGACAGCAGGTTGGGCTTTAACCCATGATGTTTGACTATGCTCACCCTACTTTGTGTGTGTGGTTAAAGGCAGCATTAGGTTTCAGTCTCATTAATTCTGAATGGTGAATCAACACTGCACGATGGAGCGTTTGACCTTCAATCGATCTTGCTAAGTAGACAATCACAGCAGACGGGTTTAACAAATGTCTGCACTTCATTACAGACAGAATATACAAGTGTTCTCTATGTGAGTAAGAAAATAGAGACATTCTATTGGCCTGGCCAGAAAGTCACAAATCATTGAAGTGTCCCTTTAATAAATATTGTTACAATGCCTGTGGCTTTCAACTCCGCATTTGCTTATCGTGTAGATATCACAAAAACATCCGTATGGTTCGCGTATATATCATAACAATACTACTAATCTACAACCCTTTTAATAAAATCCACTGCTGGCTGCAGATTTGCGCACACTGTGTCAGTTATGGGATTTTTTTTTTTTTATTTCGCAAACGCTACCACACTGTCCAGTGTGTAGGATGCAGGCGCTGGGTGGGTGGCCTTGGACCAGTTCAGTGATCGCTCGCCACAGACAACATCTGTGGCTGAGAAGTTAACTCATGTCGCTGTGCCGCCGCCACTGCGTGAACAGTTAAATATGTCGGATAAAAAAACTCTTTTCATCTCAATTGAACATGGGGTGTTCGTTGTCCTCCCAGTTGTGTGAGCCAGTGGCATAGTTCCCACATTAATTTGGTGGCAGTGAGTCAATCCATTGAGCAACCTTTCTCAACTCCCAAAATGTGTTAAAAGAACCGTAAGAAATAAGGCATGCCTAATGCGTACACATTTGTAGAAAACAATATTGAAATCTTGCATTAAATGTTTATCTATATGTGTACAATCATTGCATAACTAGATACTGTACATTAAAATGGAATGCTGTACGGATTTTTAAGGATTCTACATTTCTAATTTAAGATGATATTCTGAACAACGGAGAAAGGTCTAAACTTGGGATGCGAATGTTGCACTTGGATGAATGACCCGGTGGTGGGAAGGGAGTGACAGAAAGAACAGCTCAATAAACATCAGGTAAGCTTCAAGATTGAGAGGATGGTCAGTCACAGGCTGAGAAGAAGGGAATGTCTTCATCCTCTTTTTGTCAGAGACAAATATGGGAAAACTGAACCACTGGAGACTTCAACTGAAAAAAAATGTCAATCGATTTTCCATTTTTTAAGAGCTGCGCACAAACGTGAAGTGCCCCGTCAAAGCAAATAATAAAGCCTGCTTCCATTGTGTGATGTTTAAAAATTGTGTCTAAACATTTGCAAGCCCCTCTCTGCATCTGGCCTGCTCAATAGTAAGTCATGGTGATTAATGGCGTGTACTTTGCGAAAGTGATTTTTAAGTGATTCAAGGAAGCTCAATCCGACTCCAAGGAGATGTTTCCGCGCACGGCAGATGCACGGGAACTGTATGAGCATTTGTAAAGATGTTCTTGAATTTTAACAACGGGGGAAAAAAAAATCAGGATTCAAGCTTGTCACTTGATTTCGTAACAACTATTGTTCGACATCAGGATACTCGTTGGATGCATTGCACTTTTAAATGTTTAGTAGAAGTTCTATATTGTGTGGGTGAAGCGGCAGGACAGTGCACTTTATAATGAACATGGTGACCTAGGTTTGATTCCTGCCCATGCCCAAAATCAGTGGAAAGTGTTGTTTGAACAAGTACTGACCCCGCACTGACCAGTGTGGTGAGGTTTAGTGAAACAGCTCCCATGGCCGAATCGGCATTGGGGAGGCCTTCATCCAGCAGTTAATTGACAAAGAGGTGTAAAATATTTAATTTCTAGATTTGCATGTTTAGTTATGATTAAATATTGGAAACGATCGTGTTATAATGAAGAAAATGTATAATAATTCATGATTTTTTGTATTCCAACATCTCTAACAATTACAGAATTGATTTTGTCATTGGTTGAACTTGTAGTCATCGGATGTTGAAATAAAGTGGTGCCCTAAGCCGTATATTTCCACAATAATTGATTACCATGTCGACTTACAAAAATAAAATCGACCCATCACAGGATTCCCACATACCGAGCACAATAAGCAATTGTGTTGAGTTCGGGCGATGTCTAAGAAACAGACGTGTCTTCAGGAATGTTAAGTAAATAATAAAATAGAAAGAAAAACACTGTGATTTGGGTGTTTGCGTTGTTGAGTGGCCAGTCAGGACCTGTCCTATCAAAACTTGGAGGGGTGTAGATATGAAAGTGAGACTGTGTGACCTTTGTGTGTGCACCATGTGCAAAAAAAGGCAAGCCAAGTCTTCACTCCCAACAAAGCTCCATGGTCTTGCCTCTTGTAACTGCACGTAATTACGCGCGCACGCAAAAAGAGAGAGCTTTGTGCGAAAAGCTGGAAACGGTTAATTTTTTTTTATCCTTTAGCCGGTTTCATTTGTTCTAGCTTTCTTGTAGGTTGTCTGCCATCACAGTGCTTTTTAATTGCAGGATATTTTGCACCCTGTAAAAAACTAAGATTAGCACTTGACTGTGGCAGAGAGGTGGGCCACCGTGGGCTCTGACGTGACTTCACAAAATTGAACACGGCGGTTGTTTGCGAGTCCCTCCCACGTGCCTATGCCGAGCGGGCGGTGTGGTGGATTGTTTGGACTATCCGTGTAGAGTTAGTTTAAATGTCCTCCAAAGCAATGGAGCCCTGAAACAACTAAGACTTCGAAGAAATTAACCATTTTGCCATGCATACTCTACCATATATACTATACTCGAGGCCATGTTTACTATACTGCATCACACGCTTTCAGATGCACTTCTGCGGCCGTCTGGAATGCTCTTCCTTTCGATATTTGAAAGCCACTGCAGCTGTGCACTTTTGAATCTAGATTGAAAACTCCTTTCATTCGAACTGCTTTCTGTGTTTCGTTTGCTGTCCTTCCCCGCACCTCTGATTAGTATGGTTGGCTACATACGGTGCGAAAGAAGTTTAACATACATACATACGATGCTCTAATGTGAATACTGTCACCGTGTAATGTTTAGCTCATGTGACTTGAAATCCAGAGAAAAATGGTTCAATTCAAAGTCCATTGCATGGCAGTTGAAACAATGGGTGCATGTTTTAAGTCCACCCTCCTCTGTCTACCCAAAAGTATAAAGGAGTACATCAGATTTAGTAAATCAACGGGTCGTATGTGGTGGGGTAAAGTGTGACTAGCCACTCCCCAACCTTCCCACTTCCAATATGTTTGGCGAGCGTGGAAGAGTAGACCAAGAGACTATCTTACACGCATCACATCAAGAGTGGCGTAAGCACTTGCAGGGCTGTGCCTTGACCTTGTAGGCACTGTAGTTGGGGTCAGGCTCACGCTTTTGCTGAAACAGCCATTGGCACATGAGTGCAAAAAAACAATGACAAGGGAAAATGTTTCCGAGATTGAGACCTAGATCTTAAAATCCCAGTCATAAAAATAGACTGTGATATTTGATTTGCAAAGTCCGGTCTTATATCATGCAAAGTACAGCCTCGGATGTTACATGTGTCCGACACATGTAACATCCGTATCTTAAAACAGCTTGTCACAAGATAATATGGCTTGGTGATTTTCATAAATACTTTCGGGTGGTTGGGTATGCGTGAAATTATTTTTTTATGTAGCGTGGTTCAATAAAACATTTTAGCACCATGACTCAACAGGTTGTTTCTACAGTGATTAATAAAGCAAGTGCCACTTCGCGGAAAGTTGACAGTCATTGACATACTGGCCCCACCATAATAATGTGGAATTTCCAGCATTGGCTAAGAGCCATAGACAGAGAAAAGCATCAGCCAATTGTTCGTTTTGGCATAGCGACTCTCACACATGTTTTGACTGGTATCTCCACGCCGACCGTCGAACTCAGCAAAGTGTTGGATCGCGCAGAGCCTGTACAATTGCAGCTCCACACATCTGTGCAGTAAAGCGTTCACACATGTTTGCCATTCCTTGCCGCGTTGGGATGGCGCATGTCAAACCGGACGCGGCACTTGACGAGTATTTACCGGAATTCTTTTGCGCTGCGCGTTATCCGTTTTGCAAGGGGGGTGGGGGGGCGTTTGGAGGGCTGGTAAAAGGTGTGGACAGTTGACTTCCAGTGAACTGACGGATCGTTTAAAAAACAGAGCCATTCATATGAAGACAAATGCTCCACGGAGCCACCAGAGTTGTTGCTCCAGGACTGAGTAAATGGAGTGCTGAAAAGAATGCATCATCTCCAGTGAGCTGCCGCATTATGTAAGCACTGAGCAACGGGCCTCCTGCAGAACTCAATCTGTGGGTCATGTCCACTGACCTAGAGTTGTATGTGTACACACACAGCTCGTGTTTGTACAAATGTGTATTTTAGTAGGATGTCTTAGACGTTTTGTATTGCTCCGATCAGCAGCACTGCAAGGCTTGTTGGCGTATTGCCATGCCTCCCCTCCTGTTTGCCCAACCCTTGACAATTACCCACAAATAGACATCATAAATTTGGAAACACAAATACATGTGTTCTGATTAGATTCCAAGTCAATCTTTGTAGGGAAGTGTACAATCTATTGCAGATGATAACGCAAAACGTTCAAAAGCTACTTTTCAAGATGTTTAAAAGAATAAAATGTATTTGCACTGCCAATTCAAGTGTTCCATACTCGAGCGTTCATGAACCAGTACGTACTGTAGTGGAAATTCCATATTCATATGACAGGAACCAGTCTATCCATTTAAAACCCACTGTTAACTTATCACAAAGTTGTAATAATTTTATTTACCCTAACCCCTGGGAAATGAACCCACAACCTGATGGAGACTGTATCAGGTGGAGTGTTTGCATGTTTTATAATTGTTAGGCAGCATTGTGACGTATTATTTACAGTGTTTAGTTAGAGTATCTTAGGGCAAACAGGGTCATGCAGTGGTGACAATTGTGATTCACAGCAAGAAGGCCCTGGGTTCGATTCCTGTCCTGGGTGCCCTTCCGCATGGAGTTTGTGTATTCCCTCCCTGCTCAGCATGGGTTTCATCTAGCTTCTCTGGTTTTCCCTCGTAGCTAAAATAAACCAATGTAACTAGTATTGGCCAGACATCCCAATGCATATAAATTACCTGCAATTTATTGAATTTAGATTACACTTAACAACGACAGAATATATCAGCACCCTTCTGAATTGTCAGAAACTCAATGAGGCCTTGTTGGGTTACAAAAAATGCAATAATTATCATGATAAAAATCATTGATCTTTAATCGACTCAAGAGCTTCCTTTTTTCTGCCGATGTCTATTTCCACCATCCCAAATTGTGTGCTTCATTGGAGACGTCATCTTATCCCCGCGCCCTCTACTACCTAACCAGCTGCTTCCCCTTAAACATTAAAACGTGTCCTTTTTCAACCATTGTGCACATCGCCCTCAGGTTCTTGTTAAATTCCTTATCGCCAGATTGTATGGTGTAGCCTTTTGAGAGCGAGTGGCATTCTAACAAAAGTTTTCAAGAAGATGGAACAAACGTTGAAAATTACGTAAACTGGCATTCACAGATGCATGCTGGAAATTATACAGAAAGAGGAACTCATACTGACCCATAGTGGTGCTTGAGCATGACGCAGCGCTAGAATGGACGATGTTGGATGGATGAGGGACTCGTGATGGAATTACAGCCGAAGGAGGGAATGTGCAACATGCCCAACAAGACGACTACTCTGGAGATGGAGCAATGGAATCGGTGTGTGTCATCCCTTCTTTAGGGTGCTTGCTCCATTGTTAGTCTCAAGCACCGGCCTTCATCTAGCCATGTGCCCTGCTCAATCTCACATCTCTTAACAAACAATTGGATGATCGTTGTGTTACGATTGCTCATGTTGATTTCGCGCTTGCTTTAGCACTCACAGCGAGAGGTCTGCAGATGTATTCATGTTCAGTGACTCGTGACCATACACTGCTCCGATTGTGCATCTGTTAATTTAATTGCCCTTGTTTATACACTTTAGTTACATTGTCGAACTTGTGTTATTGTTGTAGTCGTATTTTATTATTATTGTTTTTAAAGAGATGGTTAGCCCATCTTCGAATGTCTTTTCTCGAATTCTGACGGTAATGTTTGCCAAGAGAAATAAAGCCTCGCGAGGAAATTTTGGATGCAGGAAAAACCAAGAGGGACCGTCTGAGAAACGCAATACGACAGGATGTATTCAGAGGGGTCTAAAAATCAACGCAAATACAGAGAACAGATTTTACTCGGAGTGGACATGTAGAACCTCATGTGTAACATTTCAAGCTGGCTCGCTGCAGTGGCCTGTATTTCACACAATGCAAAGTGCGCTTTGCCTTTCGGAACTTTTACAAATGAATGCGAAGGGAACATCGCTCGAAGATCTGCTCGGACAGGTCAGAGACCGATTACCCCGACGACCATCGCTTGGCAAACCTTGCGACTTGGCAATTTCACAGCAAATTCTGAATTATGCACAAGTCACCGACCCTGCCTCTCCAAAGTGTTCATTGACAAGGTGCGCGCAGCCATACCTGGCAAGACAACATATATGCTTCATATTTAATTTAGCCTTTTCCTCAATTTTATTACATTGTTTTGCTTTCATATTCACGTCATGAGAGCCAGCATCCATGTGGAACTTTGATAGAGCAACGTGTCGCCTCACATGGTGTTCGAGAATAACCTCTGCAAGAAGGAGATATCACAAAAGTATCACTGCATTCCTTCAAATAGTAGTCAAACTGATACGTTTGTTTTTCTCACAGCTGGAATTTATCCAAACTAAGTGAAAAAACAAATGTTATATGATGGGATTTTTTTCATAGTTATTGGAATCCAGGCTAAGCCCATCAACTCATACACTTGAAAACTTGGCTGGGTTAGCACCCTAGAGATTTCACAGAGGAATGAGTATTTACCAGGTGGTGCCTAAATAAGCTACCAGCAGGATTAGTCAGACATTGTGCGGATAAGCACGGTTGGCTATGTACGGGGAAAAGAAGTACTACATACATACGTCACCACACTGCTTGTGCCAGGCCAGGTGCACTCTGAGGCTATGCAAAGTGTTGAAGGCTTGTTGTGACAGGTCACGGGACAGACCCAAGGTGCCATGTGTTGACTAACCGAGATGTCTGGCAGATGCACCAGCTGTGCCCCCTACTTGCGCCAATTCGCTGCATTTTCGCCGCCCGGCGCTCCGCTCGTTGTTGCGTGACGTCACTCCTCTCATGCCAAATAACACACGGCACAACCCGCAAACACGTCGGAGAGATTTTCAACTGCAACCGCAACCGCGAAAACCGACAGTAATATATCCTAGAGTTCCGTCACCTTGGTCACAATAACGAAAAACGACTTTCATCCTGAATAATTCGGCGATCGTTCCAAGCAAGTGCGGCGTTGGATTCACATGAACGTTTTTTTTCTCCCTGTGTCTCTCTCTCGCTCCCTCCCGTGACCTCGGCCCGCCGCCCCCCTCTCTCACCCTTTGCTGCAGACGACTACCTCACGCTGTGCAACATCCGCATGCGCGCCGAGGCGCAGACCTTCGAGGAGCCTCACTTCGGCGAGCAGTACCCGTTCGAGCCTCACCTCCTGCCGGACGAGCGTGGGGATTTCCCGCCCCAGACCGGGGCGCTGGGCCACCTGCCCTTCCGCGGGCTCACGGAGGTGCAGCCGTACCCCCCCGGGCAGCAGGAGAACGCCGGCCACGACCTGATGCCCGGCATCTTGCCGCTCTACTCCACTGACGATTGTGAGTGCCGCTGTACATATATATATATACCACCAAATATACACATATATACCATGCATATACATATATACACGGTATTCCCTCGTTATTTGCGAGGGTTACATTCCGGAGATGCTCGTGAATTGCAAATTTCGCGGATAATGATATTGGCCTACGAAAACCTATCTTTTAAATTAATTACCTTATTTAAATACGTAATTAAGGTATTAAATACATGAAAATGATCTCATTATATCTCATCTCTCAACACATTCATCTCATCACTGGACATCATTACTTTCTCACATCACATTCTCTCTCATCACTTACCTTCTCACGCCTCTCTCAATTCAGTTGTGTCGAGTTCGAGATGCGATTCGTGGATAGCCAAATTCGCGGATAGCAAGGTCGTGAATAAGGAGGGAAGACTGGAAACAGAAATACTGGACGTCATCGTGTTCCTGCAGCGTCAATAAAGATTATGATTATGACATACACATGTCGTGAGTTCAACTGAGTCGCAGACGTACTCTTGGAGGCAACACATTTATTTAAATCTTGACTTAAAGCTTTCGTGACTGCAGGAATTCATACTAAGATAATACATTATTATATTATTTTTCTATCTACGTGACTTTACTGAAAGACCCAAAGAGTATACATTTATTCAGCACTAACTCACAGGGTAACTACCCCTTAACAGAATAACAACCTATGGTGGTGACCACCAGGCTAACTACACTAATTACATCGTAACTGGTACGTTTTCCAAAACTGCTCACCCAATCATGCGCACGCTCACCTCTTAGTGTTGTCAATAAGTGGGAATGTGGGTGCAGTCCACGCCTGGGTGGACTTAGCCTTGAAAAGTATGAAAGACACAGCCTAATGATGTCAGTGTTGGGGAAGTCACACGTGGTACCGACCATAATCATCCTTTCACTCCTTGTTTGTAACGCCGGCTTTCGTGGACTGATCGTGAACAGTAGTAGCCTCTTTTATTTTAAGCATGGTCGTGATTCTTATAAATCCTTACCTGAGTCGCACTCCGATGGGTATTTGGGTTGTACCTTGTTTTGGTGAATTGAGTTCCTGAAGAAGCTCACAGGAGCGACACGTCGAGCATTGTGCCTAACAGAATCAGAATCTTTATTCCGACTGGAGAAACGCGATGATCTATGGAGCTCTTTCCCACAGATGTCCGGTAGGGACGGGTCAGCAGGTTCACAACACCGCAGTGCAACCCGAAAACACATCGGAGAGCCGCACAACACAACCGTGAACACCTTCCATTTTACTCTCTCAGAAGGAGTTGTTTCATGACGAGCACTGGCTTCCTCTTTGTCTTGACACATCCTCTTGTCGGCCCGCGAACCCACAGACAAGTACAACCGATACGAGGGGCTGCAGGCGGAGGAGTGCGGCATCGCCCACGGCTGCGAGAACGGGCGCTGCGTGCGCGTGCCTGAGGGGTTCACGTGCGACTGCTACGAGGGCTACCGCCTCGACACCTTGAGCGTCGTTTGTGTCGGTGAGCCATGGACATTCATATTTGATTCATATTTTATTCATATTTTATTCATATTTAACAGTGAACATTTATTGAGTGTTTTTTTATGAATGTAGGACCTTATTTAATAAGCTTGAGGTTTCATAACAACCACTGCCTCCCCCTCTTGGATGTTTCCACATCATGCACCATTCTCACTTTCATCATCATTATCATTAATTTAACATTGCCATCATTATTATCATCAAACAAAAGCCGCCATTGTTATCATCGAGATGAAACTGTCGTAATTGTTACCGTAGTTCTTATTGTTGTCATCATCCTTGTTGTCATTGTCACATTCATTATCGTTAAACCAACATCATTGTCTTTGTCATCGTTAAACTGAATGTTGCCATCATCACCTTCATAAAACAACATCCTCATTGTCCATAATTATAATCATCATCATCACCATAATCACATGACCAACGTGATCACCATCATCATCGGTGTCCTTGCATGTGTGTTAAAGAAAGATCTGAAACTAGCCCAGAAGATCTTTTTAAAATATATTTAACCAATTACGAGTGATGACAAGGATTGCAACATTTTTGAGGACAGCGACAACGGATCTACCAAGTCCGGTACACATTGAGAGAAGGCACGCCAGCAGCGATTGAGCGTCATTTTAGCCGAGCGATAACTTTTGACTTTGACGTGCCGTTCACTTCCCGCTCTCTCGCGTCAACCTGCTCCTCCTGTGACCTTCAGATGTCGACGAATGCGAGGAGCAGAATCCTCGAGCACAGCTCTGCAGCAACGGTCACTGCGTGAACACGGACGGCTCGTACCGCTGCGTGTGCCGTCCGGGATACGCCGCCCTGCCCCAGCAGCCCAACGCGTGCGTGCCCGTGCTGCGGCACCCGCTCCCGTTCCAGTAGGCCGCTGGTCGTCTCCTCTTCCGGCCACCGAGCCCCGACGGGAACCCGCCGGCTTGCCAGACAGCTTAGATCAGTTTGGCAAGCTGGCCAGCCAGTGAGCCCGTGAGCTAGCCAGCTACGCAGTTGGCACCCCATGCTAGGCAGACTGATAGACAGACGTTCTGTCTGCAAGTAATTCGGCGGTCTCGCCAGGAGACCTGCAGGTAAGCCAGGCTGCGAGCCAACCTGTCAACCGGCCACATGCAAAGCAGTGTTTCATGTTCAGATTCATTGGGGAGGGTAGGGGGGGAGGCAGGGGGAGGGCTTGGTTTGAGGATGCTGGTCGTGGGGTTTATTGGGCAAGGGAACTTGTGGCAGTATCAACGCAGTCAGTGTTCTACATTTATTGTATATAATTATTAAAATGTGCATCTCTATAGTTACAAATTCCAACAGTTTATATTTGAGCTCGGGAAAAGGGGCAGTGCTTAAAATGTACTTGGCCGAAATGCTGTTGATGCGTACTAATGGCCGAGATGCTAATAGCAAGCGAGTCCCTTTTGGGATTTAATTTGGTCCATTTCGCGTTTTCCAGTTCATCAAGAAGGTCTGCTTCATGGCATAATTTAAATGCGAGCAGCGTTACGTTGCGAATTAACAGCGCTCGCCGATAATGCAGAAAACGCGTTGTGGACTACGCTACCTATTATGGTGTGAAATCGCTGCAGACCCACAGGCAGGCACCGGTAAAGTAACGATATAGTCAGCAATGAAGACCCAAAGTCATCTGTCATCGGTTTCGTACAACTGGTATTACAAAAAGTAAAACAACAACAACAACAACAGCAAGATACCTGGATGTTCCTGTGAACATACCATTACATGTTTTTTTATCAGCAGGAGTCAGTGAGGACTTTTAATATTATTGACATGAAGCACAGAAACAAGCTTTTACGAACAGTGATTAAGTAACTTGGGGATTATATCACATACAACCGCTTTACACGTTAAGAACATTTTAAAGGCATAGGTCAATGAATGTTTATTGTGATCTGTTCGTGACATGTCAAAACAAGATCAAAACACATTGACTATTATAATGCCAGAAAAATTAGTTTTTACAAAATGAATATCAGAGCTATTTTGTTTGTATAGAAGCTTTATAATGAGACACTGTAAATATATTCTAAATATCACAGGGACATCATCAGGGTTTATTGCATAATGATGGTAATTTTAATATTTTCATGAATACTGATTTCATGTTTTGTCAGCAAATAATTTGGTTCCATTGGAGTATATTATATCGCCCCCATCTTAAGTAACCATGATAATGTTATTGTTACTAAAAAAATAAAGTATATATCATTCAAATAGACTTAATGTATTTTCAGTTTAAGTAGCTTAGGGCCATTGAACATTGAATTTCATCTCAAAATTCAACACGTCAAATTATTTTCTCAAAACAATGGATAAAGCATTTTTTTACGTACTCGCAAATTAACCTTTTCCCATTCCGATACGTCTGCAAGTTACAGGGTGGGTCCCGTTAGCATTAATTTTACTTAGAAAGGCATAGTACTCACCACAGAGAACTGTAGCGACACAACCACACTCTATAAAAGCTAGCGCCAAACTGTGCCACACCACCTCCCTCATGGCCTTTTACTTCCGATTCCGTACACGTCCGAAGACGTCATCGGAATGGAATTGGAAGAAAAAATGATGACATGACGTGTACATCATTCGAATGGGAAAGGATTAAGAACCTATATTTGATTTCCGTGCATCATCTTCCTTTTTAGTTCTCTCCCATCGTCGTTTCGAGATGATGGGGCTCGAATAAGATCTCACCACCTGCTCCTGTCTCCCACCAGCTTCACGGCTTCCTTTACTTGTCACCCGCTTTGTGTCAGAGACAATTTACCACCGAGTCAATTCAGTGCATTTTATTTTTTGCCATTCATTATGTTGTATTACCTTGCTGATCTCGTCTTGGAGCATAGACCATCACGAAAACTTCGGTCATCCTGCACCTCCGATAAGCATGCTTGGCTACATTCGGTGCAAAAAAAGTTCAACATACATACATCCTCGCAGCAGTGGCTAGCCATCGAACAAAGACAGTCACTGCATCGCGCGCTTACAGATGCGCTTCTACGGCCGTCTGGAACGCTCTTCCTTCCAACATGAGGAAATTTTTAAATCTGTTTTTAAAACGAATTTCTTGAGAACAGATTTTTGTGTTTAGTTTGTTGGCCTTCCCAATCATCTTCGATTAGCACGGTTGGTTACGTACGGTTCAAAATAAGTTAAACGTACATACGTATACTCTAAATCCATGTATGGCATTCTATATGGATCTATTCTAGACCATGTGGCCAAATCACTCGAGTCGTTCTACCTTGGAGCTTCTCAATCCGTGTAAACCCCTGTCCCATTCCTTCTCGTCTTGCTCTGTGTCTCATTATCTGTAGTCTAGACACTCTCAGCGTTCTTCTCTGTTAGCAGCGTATTCCCACAGTTGTTTTCTATTCGTCAGAAGTTCTGATTCTCCAGCGTTTAGAGACGTACATGAATGTCGGCATGCAACTGGTTTCACACACTTAGATTTTTGCTTTTAAGCATAATTTGTACTAAACCAGTTATTTTCTTGGTATTGACATATTGAATATTTGTTAATAAAGGGATGAACATGCATACGATGATCTTCAATTAAACTTAAACACTAGTTTTACAGCAGTATAGAGGATGAGAATATGATTGCAAAATGAGATTGTTTCCTAAGTTTAAATTACAATTGAACATTTACACACGAGAGCAACATTTATCGCAGTCTTGTGAGCATATGAACATACCTTTTCAAACAATGTAAATTTTTTTGTTGTATTCAGTTATCACTTAAACAACCTTGTTTGCAGTGTTTCTGCAATTTATGACAGCTGCACGATGCTACAAAATCCGTAGATTTGCAGGTGATGCCACCAAACACGTGAACAAGGTGAAGGCGCAGCCATGCAGTTGCTTGCTCACACCGCAGATTGTGGAAGGGCCTCCACGAGACGGAGCCCGAGAGTGCCCCTCTCTGGATGGCATTTGGCTTCCTCTTCGTGCTTTGCCTCACCGCACGTGACCTACCAGTAGACTGACCGTGGTATGACCCAGTTAGACTGCCGGGCGGGGCGGAAGCGACGGGGATTTAAGAAACTCGCATCATTGTGTCCACGGCCACCCCGGGAGATTGAATGGAATCGGCGACTTCTGGATTGCAAGTCCACTGCGTGAACCATTGCCACCGCCATGGTAGCCATGGTAGCCATGCCTGCCAAGTGCACGATCCCCTCACCATTCGCGAGGGATGCGTTCCGGAGATGCTCGTGAATTGTAGGTTACGCGGATAATGATATTGGCCTATGAAAGCCTATTTTTTTATGAATTGCATTTAAAACGTAAATAAGCTATTAAATACGTAACAATTATAATGAAACGAAAAATAGTAATTGGTTATAATAAACAAAGTAAATAAAAATAAATATGAACGTATTAAATAATAGTTAATACAATAACTTACCCAAATTTATGATGATGATGATGATGCTATGCATCATCACTGTCTCATCACGTTCTTTCTTCACCTCTCGATGCAGTTGTGTAGAGTTGCAGATGCGATTGGCGGATAGCCAACATCGCGGATAGCAAATTCGTGATTAACTTTGCAGTAGAAGGCCGCTTGCAGTCTCTGTATTGTCTTTGAATTCGTGGCGCTCTGTTCTTCTGGTAAGGCCGACAGTCACAAGTGGGCAGGTGCATTCTGATGGGAATTCCTCTGGAGTGAAAACAATGTTCTGTTCACAAGTATGGTGGTGTGTGCTATGGTGTCTGCAATTGTTTTCTTTTAATATAGAGAATGTGTTGTAAAACAAGGCAAAATAAGTCGAGGAAAGCTACTTTCCAATGTTTTGATTTTGTAAGACGACATTTGAAATACAGCTGTGGCAATAGAATGTACAATACCAATCATTACAATAAACCCATATTGAAAGCAAATTTAGCATCCTTTAATTATCTGAAAACAAAAATTCCCATTCGTACATAACACAACGTGACATTTAGGACTGCATATTTTATATTGTTGCTTAAACTACATCAACATAATCTGTTGTGGTGTTTTATGTCAGAGAATATGGCTTGAATCGACATCAGCTGTGCTATTTTGTAAATGAATCAGTTTAGTTTGTCATGGTCTTAACAACACTGAGTCTTAATAGAAAGTGCATTCTACTCTGGATTATCTATTGCATATAAATGGTGCCTTAATGACCTCTGCTTCGAATATGAAAAAAATGCTACAGATACATTTCGAGAAACAGCAGGTTAAATGATCCCCCTTTTTAATTTGACAATGAAACGATGTTATTGAAATGTTGTGTGTTGAGTGCTGGTCTGTAAATTACGTGTCTATTTGCATCTCATAGTATGTATTAATTTGCCTAAATAAAGCCAAACTATTAAAATACAATTGCAAGAGTGCACATTATTTTCAGTTGCTCTGTCATCATTGTTTATATGCCAGCAGTGTACATACTATACGTAGCAGGGTTGTTCAAGGTTAACTTGTACTTAAAAAAATAAATGTGAAACTGAATAAACCTCATCTTATCTTTCCTGGTATTCCCCCACTACACACACAGATTTGTCCCATCGGTATAATAATACCTTCATGCCAGAATGAACGCAGCCGTTTTTGGACATCTGCTTTCAAATTACTCGCCACTTTTTACTGACTCGCATCGATGTCAAGCCATTTGCACCATTCACACTTCCACGTGACAGCCCGTGTCACATTTTTCTTTGCCAGCAATTGCATTACAACACGTTGGTCTTATGTGTTTAGGACAAATTATGCTTACCAACAAAAATCAAAGTGAAATCTTTTAGTCGCGTGCCGATTTCATATATGGCTCCAAATGCTGGAGAATGAGAAAATTCGATTAACAAAAAGTACATCAACTGCAAAAATGAGCAGCTTGAAAAGAGCACTGAGAGCGTCGACTTCAGAAAACGAGACACGGAGATAATGAATGGGACGAGGGTGTACACGGGCATTGCAGATCCCCAGACTGCTTTGCGAAGCTGTGACGCCATGATGTTGCTGCCACTATCGCTGCTAATTGTTAGTGATCATTCATTATGTTATTATTATCTAGATTCTAGAACATACATGAAGTGCAGGTCAAGCTGGGATCTGTATCTGACATTACAAAGCAGTCTTAAGAAATCAATGATGAGACAAATTATATTCCTCCCTTGATGAAGTGAAGGATTGTTAAGCATAGCAAATAATGATACGTTTCACATCACATTATTCTCATGTTGAAAGGCGCACGATGTGTTGCAATTTACAAGTTATGCTGCAGCTGAGTGTTCACTTTGCATGGGTTTCACTCGCAGGAGTGGCTCTGGCCAAATGGTGCTGTTAGGTTGCATTGCTTCGAAGTCACTTCAGGACGAGTCCCCCGTGGGTCTAGACTTCAGCCTAGCAGCTGTCTACAGTGGCTTTGTTCCCAAACTCCTTCCAGAGAGTGCATCTGGCGTTTGATGTTGAAGGAATGGGCACACGTCCCACCTCATTATATTGGGCTCAGCACTTCTGCTTACACGGAGATTATCTATTTGAAACGTTTGCCTGGTATCCATAGCTTAAATACTTCCCATTTATCGATACGGTAATAATCGCTTACATACCTTTATCAATCCACTGGTGGATTAAGGGCTCCACATGCTGTGGCAGTTATAGAGGGTTGTTTGACCATACTTTATCTTACTGGTTAGTGTGGGTTTCTAAAGATGGGCGCCCTGCACCGGTGCAGATATCCCTTCGCCACTGTTGTGAGCTGTGGCCAAAAACTAAACTGAGATCAGTGCACTAACCACTGCGCTACCACTCTCCCAATTAATTACGATTATGACTACAGATATTGTGCTAAATATAAAGCCTAATTCTTGTCCAGCTATAATGAATCCATTCATGTTATCAGTGAGTATATTACAGGTATTATGTTCTCATGTTATTGGCCCAATTT